CCGCAGCTACGAGACGATTCGGGTGCGGGCAAGAGAGTTTCGGATAGAAGTCCAGGAAATACCGAGTGCCATGCTATCTGTTGGGGATTCGGAGCTCGCCACTGAACCCAACGAAGGTTATGTCGCCTATTATCCCAAGGGGCAGCACTTTTTAAAATTAACAATACAGCTACGATGACCTGAAAATTGTAATGGCAATCGCAGTTATGGTGTTTCAAATATACTTTCACTTTATACAATGAATTAAGTTACGTTTCTCAAACTTAATCGTTCTACACCTACAACTTACTAGTCGCAGTTTACCTATTAGCTTAGAGTCTTCCCCTACACCCCCAATATTTACCTACTACCTCCTTTTGTAACCTATGTAGACATAACTGTACGATGGTTTTGAATATCTAATTAGTTACTTTTTCTGCTAGAAATTAGAAATATATAATATGGTGTTTTTATAGGTTCAAATTTACAACGTCACTGAAAAATTTTATGACATTGTCACTTCCTGACTAGATCTCTGGTTTATTCTTTATTATATAATGACAGTATATATATATATATATATATACATTTTGTGTCGCTCAATAGACACCCAGATAAAAAAGTTTTTATGAAGGAATTATAAAGCAAATTCTAGCAAGTTTTAGAGGATCGATTTTTAAGCACAGTTTTACGAGGAGAAATAGCTCATATCGATCATGATGATATTTATAACGTTAACGATTCCATTGTCCTAGTGATACTGAAATAACAAATGAGAATAACTATATCAAAAATATGATTATTATTCTTTAAACGTTGAATCAATATGACTTTTAATCCAGACGCTCTTGGTTATTTTTTTTTCAGAACCAGAATTTTCATGGTTGATTAATTTTACCCATTCTTCTAAACTAACACTAAAAAAATACGCCATCTCTCCCTTGTAGATTCGCCAAGATTGGAGAAAGAACTACTCACTTAGTTATTATAACAATGAAAACACGTTATTTGTGCCGCATGTTTTGCTAATACACAAGAGGTCTGTTTTTATGTGTGGAAATACGGCCAAATGACTACTCAATATTATTATAGTATCATTTTGCGTTTGAATTGCGTAATGAACTAAACATGACTAGTATAATTATGAACCAAATGCAGAGGATTTATTTTATTCTTACAGGTCTTAGATAAAACCTTTTGATTGAATTTTCCTTTGTGGATCGAATCTGACTGATATCACCGTGCATTTAAGTTCTAAAAATTAACTTCGATATCGGAATTATGAGGCAATATTAAGCTAGCCTATAGGTAGGTAATACGGCAACAAATAAGAACATGGAACGTAAGCCCCTTGGAATCGGTATTAGTGCATCGAGTTGTGTTTACCAGGTCAAATAGTATTAATTAATTAAAAAAGTGTTGAAAAAATAAGGAAAATTACACTATATGACGTTGTAGTTTTTTTTTTTAGACACATTTATTACTAACTTTGAGTACGGCCACGATATCGATAACCCAGAGAGGACGGCAGTGGCACTCGTGTTTCGTACTATTCCCTAGATCACATCTATGTTAGATAGATAGCTAACATATGGCCCCAATCAGATCCCATATTTTACGCAAATATTATAATAATATAACCTGTACATGTATACTTGCAATGGCAAGTGGTTGTCCGGGAAGTTGACTTGCAAGCCGACAGTTGCTTCGGGTTGCCGATACATTTTTATCATGACTGTCAAAAACCCAGGCTTACCAAAGATCGTTTCCTTACCTAGATATATGTTTCATGGCATCTTTTACGTCGTACAAAACCAAACGAACTCTTGGAGATAGAGCCTGCCATTTTCACGCTATCAAACAACAAGAGAGTCTCTTGAAGAGGCACCGAATAAGAGTTCAACGCTGCCGATAGAGCTAACGGATATTATGTCTTTGTATTTATCTGTCGCTTTAGAAAGTTAGTGGAAATCGTTTCAAATATGAAGAAGCTGAGCACGTTTGAAGTCGGATTCTCAATAACAGATTACGAATGTGTGAGAACCTGCTATATAGCTTAGTAAGCGTCTTTTGCAGGCCGCTCGTGGTCAACATTGGTCTGACACTTCGGCTGAAATAATACAACATAAAAGCAGTCTTACTTGGTACTCATCTTGACCTTCGTACCACTTCCTAATCGTCTGATTTCTTTCTAAATGAATCGATTCTAATTGGACCCATATCAGAACGTCTACTAATTCGGAGTTCCACCGAAACAGTCGTGGGTTTGCGCCGCTCACTCAATCCACTCCTAGAGGATTCAATTGATAGCAGTTATTAGAATGTTATTGGCATACCAGCAGTGCTGCGAAAACACACTGCGTATTTACGACGCCGGCGCATGCGCTTCATAACCCGTACCGTAAGAGAAACTTAGAAGCATTTTAGGCCGACCCAGCACGCTCTCTCTACATTTTACAAGTTTCAAAAAACTGAAAACGATTCATTCAAGCCTAGCTAATTGTTGGGACACTTCGTCTGATAAGACTAGTTAAAAACAGAACGCAACAGATATGAAAATTCGTTTTTCTGAAGAAATGTTAGTAATAAAATGGAAAACATTTTCTGATTTCGATTTTTTTTTTTTTTTTTTCTTTTTAAATCAACGATACGTTTGGCATTGAAAAACCTCTTTTTTCGGTTCTTCCATTTTTAATTTTCAAGATATTTTCACATATAGTTTTTTTCATTGTACAGCACCTATATGTACCATACTGATAATACACTTTAAAACAAGGCACATTTTATTACATCTGATAAGTCTTTATTTGGGTCGTTCAACTTTATTACTAAACAGAGGTTCATGCTTTGTATGCATGTAAAGGGATAAGCTGGATATAGAGTGTTACCAACTGATTGGTTCCCGTAGCTGTGGCCTCTCGAAGTAGCACCGTTATGTCATCGGTGTTAATTACCATTTAAAAAATGAAAACAGGCGTATAACTAAAGGCCGCCCTTCAAAGTAAAAAAAACTCGGTGTACCTTTCTAAAAATATGCTCACACGAACAACTCCTGCTTCAGCCCTAGCGTCCCAAAAAACAGAGATAGAAATTAGTTCCTAAAAAAACAATGACAACACATCAATAGACGGGCATGCAATACGAAGTAAGCATGGAAGTCCAACTGACAAATGGAAAGGCAGGTGAACAGACAGGTTGTACACGATTACCTCACTTGTTTGATTATTAATATATAATATTCGCCTCATCTAATTTTCAAGCCTTACCTTCATCACGACACCGTTTCGACACGCAGCTAAATCCCAGCCATTATATTTGTTTTCATAGATCGATAAAGTTTATTCCGATTGTTCCTAGATTCACATTGGCGGTCCTGTATTACAATACTGAACTGCTGTTTACCGATTGGCAGTTATTTACTATGACAGGTGGCATGACATCATGCACTCGTGGGAGGTCCCGCGATTGAGTTTCATCAAACGGCCTCTGGCTTAATGGAGACATCAATCAACAGCTACTTAAGATGAGTCCGACAATACACTTTGTTGCTACTCAGATAGTATACGATGTACTTCGATTTGATTTATAATAGCTAGTTGAAAGAAGCGACTTACCGAACTAACTTCTTGTATCTGCAAGCTGCACAAAAGGTGATCCTTATGGACGATCGAAAAGAAAATAACACTGGCTAGGAGGTCAGTACATCCGATACGAGGAGAACTATCCGCATTTTTATCAATAGAAGCACATTCTCGTATCAATGAGTAACTTTGCCCTACATATTTAAGCAACCAATCAAGATTTTTTTTGTAGTACTTTTTCTTTCAAAGATAGCCTGTTTTCTTAAGGCTCAGAATTTTTGTTGCCGCAGTACGTGAGGGTAGAAGTGTCGAAGTAATTCTGAAAAGCCTTCCTTGGCATCATAGATCAGCGTAGGGCATCGAAGACATTTTATATTGACGCCGGTCTCTCGCAATCGTTCGAATGGACCCAGTAATATACTTCGACCTCGTTAAGATGCCCCAACTCGTCACAGTGGCGTTAGCACACCGAAACGCGATAATTGGAGGACTACGTTTTTTCTGGCTGAAATTGCTGAAAGTGAAATGTTTCCAAGAGCATGCATTTTACATTACAATACTGTTCAATCGAAGTCACAGATTCTGCATTAGCCAATTCAAAAGTATTACAAGGATTCGCATATGGACAAGCAGTATACTCAATGCGAGGACTTGCAACACTCTCTCCCAATATATATCTCAGCTTACACACATAACTAGCCCTTCTTAACAGGCATATTGAAAGCAACTACACCTTGTCATTGATCATAGCTTTATTACAAGAAGCCAATAAATGTAATCCTCTAATTCCGCGCCTTTCAAACTGTGACAAACTATTTGTATCGACATTATCGAAACAGAAAGACGCAATCGACTCTAATGATGAAGACCGCACTCATCACTGTTTACTATCTAGTACACGACGAGGATTCACTGGAAATGATATGGGTCATAAACATTGGGTTATCGAAAATCTATTAACCATTTTTCTATCTCAATAGCCTTTAAAGTTGTAGATCTCAGGTGGTATGAGTCGCGTCGGATTGACGTTGTCGTCATCTGAGAGCTGAGGCGCGACATGTAAAAACTGGGTATAAAGCGGTGTCAAGGGGACACATGTTGGCTAGGTCGATAATTTATATTGTTTATAATTAAAATACGCTATCGAAAGGAACAGCTCGAAAATGTTCGCTGCTTCAGCTTTGATAATTTTGCTTCTCGTAATAATAGACCAATTAAAATTTTTCAATAAAATAATTAGAATAAATTTTACTGGAGGGATTCATGGATCACTTGTCACAAAGGGTGCTTGCTTTTTTTGCCTAGAAGCCATAGAAAATCTACACTAATGAGACTATGTTGTTAGCAGATAAACGGTAGAATATTGTTGCGCATATTTAGCTTAATTATATTTTCAAATAAAAACCTTTGGCTTGAAACTTTTTTTCGATAATTCCATATAAATGTGAGCTATAGTTTTTTTTTTATTAAATCCTTATTTTTATTAAATAAAATTATATTTATTTGTAGCTTTATTAACGGCTGACAGCGTTGCGTGGGGCTGCCGATTCCACGAAGAATATTGCGTCGTAAATATCTCATGTAAGATACAAAGTAACATGTAGGTTTCGTATGCAGAAGGTCTCGTTAACGACTTGTTCGAATAGGCCACATATTAAAAAACAGCCTCGTGCTTAACGCGTATTTTTAGAATGATCTCTTGGAGTTTTAAAAAACTTCAATTCTCTCAACATCATTTCAGCCTCAGTTCACTGCCTGTTAGGACGCTGGAAGGCATAAGAGGTCAGATTTACTTATAGCCTATAATGATGCGTTTTCGAATTAAATAAACAATGATACAATAAAGTGGCGACTAGTATACATTGGTGACAGTTACCTATAATAAGCATTGATTAATGTGTTTAGGTTGCAAAGATCACAATAGGAAACAATGCGCCAATAGCTTCACCATCGTTATCATTAGACAAATAACAATAACAGCTGTTCGGCTGTATGTTACCACGTGAGACAGCTCGAATCGTAAACACAAAGGCTACGAAGTGCTGCGACCTTTTCTTTCTATCACCTCCATCCTCTGTAAAATTCAACACTGATCAGCAACGCTGACTCGTGTCATGTCAAGGCACGGCCAAGAATTCCTGCGAGTTCGTTTCTAGCTGATTAGTATCTTCGGTACTGCGACCCTTCGGTAATTAACCCGTAGTAATGGTCATAAAAGTCCCACCATTGGCAAGCGGGTAGCACCGCAGGCATGCCGATATAAATTGCATTTGGGTGTGTACAGGGCTGGTTACAACCGCAATAGCGACCCCTGTAGTATCTAACCTCGTCGTGAAACGAATGAGCAACCCTTATGTTACATCTAGCCAGTGCGTTAATTCGGTTCATATGTCTATGGAATTCTGGCCCGTGTCCACCTCGTCCCTCATATCTTGCCATACCAGTAACAAAAAGATAGGCGTGAATCATCTCATGCAGTAGGGTTTGTACTAGATCGGAACGCGGCCGCAGCAAAAGCAGTGGATGCGATAGCCAGATCCTAGGAAAGCCGTCCTGGAGACCGAACTGTCCAGCACAGGATTTCATCTCGTCAGCTTTGCTCCAGCCGATCGTACAAAATCGCAGTCTGCTCTCGAAGAACATGTCATCAAACACTTGGAACATTGCATGAATATCTGGCGTAGGATCGATGGTCTCCCACCGAGGGTCTACGAGCGAGAGCCCCCTATGGAGTGCGAGGAGTGCTCGAAATTTTATCACATGCTCGGGTTCGCGACCGGGTCGTGGGTGGTTTTCTAAGGCTATCAACTCCGCTAAATACCTGTCCTCCTCGTACTGAAGGCGTTCGGCCAGCCTCCGGTCTGGATCGCCGCCACATTCGATTAACCGCATCGTTTCGGCCAGTTGGACATAGCTTTCGACAGGTTGATTCTGTAACAATAACGATAGCAATACGAGTACATGAGTCGCATTTACCCGTTCCAAGTATTATACTTCTATTGCTGCGAACTGTAAGCGTTCACTATACATAAGGTGTTGTATTTGAGCGTAATAACCCATAATTATATGTACTGGAAAAAATCAAACGGAAAATAAGTAAATCTTTATTAAAGCTCGTTAGGTTTGAACTAGGTTGATTAGATAATCTAACCGAGCCATTTGTACTGTCAAAGGTGTCTTATAAGGTATCACTTTAGAAAAAATGGCTTGTTAAACGTAGCAAAGAATTAAATTATTACTGATGTATTTAAATCAGTAATGATTCAAGGCAAACTTACTTAAACAAAAAAAAAACGCTTATAAAGCAAATGTGTAGTTCGGAATATTGTTTTCAATTAAGTTCAACAAACAAATTTTAACAAAAATTTAATTTTTTTTTAAACAAAATTTAAAATAGTGTTATGCTACGTTATTGTTGTTACGTATAATTAAACCAGCAAATACAATTCTTCCGATTCGACAACGACGATCAGGAGTTAATACATATGGATACCGTCACATGTTTCACCTGTGTATATACGTATATAAAGTAAATGTTATATACACAGCGTTCGAGATTTCTGCCTGAAAATGTCACAGCATTTCCCTATCTAGACGAAGCTTTTTTTAGAAAATGTTTTCTTAATGTGCATTACGGTTTCAGTAAATTTCGATATACTGCAAATATGAATTATACAAGCCCTTTAAATGTTCGCATTTAGTTAAATTATAATCACAACTACGGTACAATAGCCCATAGTGCTAAGTGATCCAAACAGCAGTAACACAGTGTAAGTAAAAAAAAAAGCGTGTTTCAAAGGATATGCTGCTGTCTGGATACCATAATGCGAAAAATTTTGTTTTTGCTAAAAAGTTTTAAATCTTGCTTGCTTTTGGTACACCGAGCAGCAAAGGAATCGACAAAGGCACAAAATTGTATAAGCTATATTTACTACGACCCTTTTTACGGAGAGGCATTAACCCTGAAATAGTCAGTAGGGGCATTAGATAACGTATGAATACATTTACGAAACAACCGTATGAATGCCCCAAAATCCCTTTCCCGCGAGAACTATAACCGATATTTAGCGCCTTATGCGTTCGAAAGGTCCGTCGGGCTAAATATTTGAAGTATTTTGATCTGGCATAATTTTCTCTTGTTTAGATTGTTGTGCATGTTAAAATTATGTAACCTGTCACCAGGATTCGACAAGAATCGAACCAGAAGAAACGCTAGACACCCTAACATATTAGTGAAACATATGATGAGAAAACGAATTTAAATAAAATATGTGATAACTTATTAAAATGACTTTTTTGTTTGAGATTTTACGAAAATTAAAAAAAAAGACGGCACAAGCGAAATCTCCCAGATATTTAACTTTCAAAGTAGAATAGTGTACTCCAAAAAAATAAGCACGCCTTTTATGCTTCTTTTTAACAGTAAAGGGGTTGGCGCCATTTACTTGAATATATTAAACGAACACGCTATACTGGATTTATCTTGTTGAAAATGAAGATTACTATATAAATATAAATGGGTTGAACAAAAATGCCGGAAAATTCTTTCACACCTAACCACGATCACATTGGCAGCAACTTGGCAATAACACACCATAAGACTAAACGAACATTTCGTTGAGGTTTACGAGTTAATAAGCCACCATCGTCAACAGAACGATTGTGAGTCTGAATGTCTATCCAGCAGACAAAAACTATACGCTTTATGCAGATCCCTTTGCAATTTATCTATTGATTATATGGCAACAAAAATTGAATTAAAGCTATTATTATTTAAGTTGCGTGTATGTCTTCAGGACAGCTTGTATATAACGAAACGAAAATTTCGCTAGATCCCATAGAGCCGGCTGATACCGTATAGTTGCTCACGACGTAACACAACACCTATTGTTTGTCATATCGAGATTGACTCTAAGGTTTTGTTTAGGGAGACCATATTTGAAACGGCTAATATTTTGGTTCCTCTTAGCTTCCTCGAACATCGTCGCGAGGTCTGTACGAAGTATTTATCATCTGATGACTGCGACCCTGGGTCTATCTAGAATTTGCCACAATTTGCCGCAAACACACCAACAAATCGACTAAGTCCATGAAAGGGATAGAAACCCACCCTAAGTAAGTTGGCAGAACCGATGGGGACGGTTACTGCACTCCAACTGGTTCAAAGTACGCTATGGCTAAGGCCCCTGGCAGGTGGCGCTACCGGCGTTCAGGGTCCGCCCACTCACCATTCTAGTATCCTCAAGCCGCGTTGGGAGGAAACAACAGCTCGTCGGAGACGACCATCCACGATCCCAATGCCATCGCAACAGAAGTATGGCTATCAGCAATTTTACGCCATTGCCACTCTGGGCCACTTCTACACGCCACAACGTTTTCAGAAACAACAACAACAACAACAGCTATTACGACTGTCGGAGCTTCTGCTGTAGCGTAAATATTACCAGCTGATGATACCCACACCTGATAGACGAAATAACTCACTTTTTACGTTAAATCTACAAGAGTAGCAAACATGGCCTTTGTTACTGCTAACTGAAAGAGAACTCGTTCGCTGCTCATGGGGTGGCCTTTAATCGGGCGGCCGATTACTTCGTCTTACAGGCTGCGACCGCCTGTCAGCTTTGTATTAGGTTGTAGAATATTGGCAGTATGACGTCTGGTATCCTGGAAATCTGAGCTAAATTAGGGTGACGCAGTGTCCCGCAGTGGGTTGTTTACGTATATTTTAGAAACGAAATTGTCGTACCGAACACAGTGTGATCTGCAAGAACGATTCCTTGCCTGTTGTGTGCTATGTTATTAGAAAAATCATCCGATGAACTATTGGCGATTATTTGGGTAAGATAAAATACTAAACGGAGCAATCCGGTAAGCGACTTAGCTTTGCTGGAGCCAACGCGCGCCTTAATCGTATTATAGTTTAAACGATCGACTCTGTCTACCACAGCCCATCCCGAAACGTTGCAAATACATCTCCTACTTTTTGCCTTTTTATTATCCTTTGCTATATTGTTTATCTGCTTTTATTGAGGAGTCGGTTTCCGTCTGACGAGGATATTGCTAGGCTATACAGTAAAATATAAAGTACATCAAGCACTTTCAAGAGTGCTCAAATTTTACTAGCGTAGGTAATAACTTGTTCAGACAGTCGAACATTTTCTTCCTGCCATCTACCTTCAAAACAGAGAAATTATTAATAACAAGCGCCCAAAATTGATAGAGTGCAGTACAGCCTATGCTTTTAGCCGGCTCGTTGGTGTGTCTGTATGGCCTGCTTATGGTATATAGCATTTACGGCATAGAAGGGATTTCTGGAGTACGCTTGAACGAATTCGACACCCACCTAAATGGTCTTAAGCTTCCACGTGCCAGGCCGCGCGAAGCATGCATATGGTCGGTGTTAGCGTACCCGCCGCCGCCGCCATTGAGTATACTGACGCCTCTATATATACCCACCGACATACATAAATATACATAAATATCGGTGCGAGTATCTGGTGTGGATTTGTGTGAATCAAGCTAGTGGTAACACCGGCTGGATATGTGGCCAGGCGCGCTTGCAGACCGCACAGATTGTCGTCGGATGTAATGACCCATTCGCTGAATGTCCAGCACAGCCTCTTCCCTTGCGGGCGCTCTTTTTCCCTCTCGTTCCACGCAGTTTTCTCGCGCTGTGCTAGCGGCACATTGAAATTAACTGCAGTTTCGCATTGCATGATATTCAGCTGTGAACCCGATTCAGGACAATCGGATACGACGGGATCAGGACCAGATGGCTAGTAGCGATTTTATTAATAAATGCTTATATACTCGCACAGCTGCATCAGTAGGAATTAGCTGATAACTAACTAAAGTACATCAAATATATTGTAGTTCACGAAGTACTACTCGACAGATACCCTAAATAAGAGCTGCTCTGTAATGCTATAAATGTGTACAGGTGGTTCTTTATTGGTTTCCGATCGTATTAGGAAATTCTATAAGTCGGTAAAACGTCGTATGAGCTACGTATACTTCCATAACAAAAGTTCTCGTTTTAATCACCGTAGCATCGGCAACAGCAGATCACAAGCTCCCTTTCAGCTGTGTTCTGAGAAAGACGTTGGAACTTGATCTCTCTATGCATCATTTAGCTACGGCTTTTGGCTATCGGTGTATTGAGACTGCGTGAATCTACACCTCACTTACGTATAGATATGGATGGGTACTTTTTTGCTCACAGGCCTTTTGGCAACGATCGAAAAAATCGCCGCGTACATTTGTCATATCGTTATATGGTCATAAACACATGGTAACTTCAATAACCTACCTACTTGTCGGCGGAAGCTACGATTAAAACATTCGCGCTGAAACCTATGGGTTGTATTATATGACCACCCAAATAATCGGTATCCGCTTGAACATTACAAATTTTTTTTACTTTGCTACACTTGTTCAAAATATATATATAGAATATACAAGGCACTAATTTCCAGCAACTGGGTCATGGTATCCATTGCACAGCAAATCAGTACAACGTTGTACTTTGACGAACGGGTTGCCTTTATAGTTGCTGTAAGGTAAGTGCAAGCAATTAAGCCTTGTCTCTAAAAATCTCATACTTCTGTTCTCTTCCAGATACCGGGACGAGGAGGCACCTGAGCGATGAGCGGCAAGGTAGGAAGCATTCACTTATCGTTCAGACTTAGAAAACTACTCATGCCAATAGTCCATTGTTCTTGCTTTATGGTCCAAGGCAAGCTAAGAGTGGTCGACTCTAGCAAACAGAGAGATTTATATATTTAAGAGTCTCTTAATTACGTTTCTATTCACATGTGTCATATGGTATCAATAAGAATTAAACTAGCCGATAAGTCCAGTCATGATATCGCTCTTTTTCGAGCGTTAGACAAAAATTCTGAAAATGCCAATGGGTAACTGAAGCAATGGGGTCGCCGTGGGGTTCCCACGGCGATCTATCACTTTCATTTGTGTCTCAGCCAAGATAGCCACGTCTAACCTTTAGACCTCGAGATAGGATGAAGCCATGTTTATTGGAAGCGGATGTCTTCTACCAGTAGTGATGTAGTATGTACTGCACAGGACAACAGAAGCTAGCGGCCACTGCTAGCCAGTCAGTCGATGGTGGAGCGTAGTGAACGAAGCTATCTAAAAGTGCTTTTCTGTCATTACTTCTGCCACCGCGATCATTTTCTCGATACCAATAGGTCGAGGCTCTCGGTTACAATACACTCAGCACGGTCCCTGCAAATAGAATGTTTTTGACAATCTTCTCGCTACGACGGCTGCATTTGCCGCCCGTATACCACCCTTCGGTATTGCGCTTTGACTGCTGCTACCGTTGTTTTCAACTAAAAGCAGTGATCTGGCGTCCCACCAAGTGCAAGCGAAGTGGGTGAGCACGAATCTGACCTTGCGAACAACGACGACGACGACGACAATTACAATGGCAAGACGCTATTTCGTTGCCGCTGCTGGTTGTGTCATCCTATGGGTAACGATATAGTACAGTCTCGAAATTAATGACACGCACATTTTGAGCTTTCATCGTATGCTCGCCATTTCGCTATGGGTCGTATATCCCGTCATTGTTTTTTGGCGTTACCAGTTCTATAAGCCGGTCAATGTACCTACTGCTAGTGCAAACCTACTGTCTATAATTGACTTGTTATCGGCTACTGGTTCTCGGCTACCGGCTACAATTCGAGAGGGTACGGTAATACCATATAGAGTGGGAATATCATCCAGAGATTCTATTTAGTGACAGATCTGCGATTCGTGATCATCACGAAAAGGCCGACTTGTGCTGAGCTCCAAGACCTTTCCCGGCATCGGGTCAGCGAGAAGCTCGGGAAGGTTTCGGGCCGAGATCTGTCCCTCTTTTACCCTTTTCATCTAGCTCGAACTTTGGCAGCAGGGGTATCATGCTAGCTGTAGCTGCTCTGCTATTATGGAAATTGTGCCTTGCAGGCCGATTCGCTCCACTCTTCTCGAGTTCATCACACATCAGAGACAGATAGATACAACCTCAACAAACACAGCACCCCCAGAACTCCGCCCTTTCGCCGCTCGTTCGCGCACCCACGTCCTGGCAGACGAGCAGCTACGCTGGCTGTCGCCATTTTGAAAACTAAAGTCCTGTAGTAGCACATCAAGCCGGGACGAAGTCAAATTTTGTGACAAAACCTGAGTGAAAGTGCTGAATTATCTGTTACGAACGGCGTTCAGAACATCGTAAGTTGCCCTTCAAAGGAAGTTCATCACCGTGCGAAATTCGTTAGTGGCTGAAACAACTGTTTTCTGGGCTAAGTGGCGCCCGGTTGTAGTTTTCGAACAAATCGCACGTCCAATTGCAGTGTCTCTCCAGCCCACACAACATCATACGACACCGTGTGTTGGCCTAGTAGGCCGCGGGGAAATAGAACGTTGTCCATAGATGAAAAGTGTGCTAACAAGTTCGCGGCAGCTATCCGGTATCGATTAGGCAAAACTTTCGATTAGTAAAGAATGTTAATATTCAATTTCGCTCAGCAACAATACACTTTTGTCAAACAAACAAGAGAGCGCATGAAGATGAGGATCAGTTCCATAAATCGATTGTTTATTTCAATATGTTTAAGACTTTATAATAACAGCAGTTCGCAAAAATAAGTGATCTATTAGACAGACGTGTGGATCTAGCGACTGGTTTGATTCAATAATTTTTTTTTTCAGAAAATGAAAAATGTCTTGTACATCGAAAATCATAGTATTTGCAATAGTGACTCGATTTTTGGCATTAAAAAAAACTTGAAGTTAATTAAAATCCTTGGCTAGAATGTATCAAGCCTGTAATGTATAGGGTCTGACGAGACATAAACGGTGAGAAAATAGGGCTTTATATTTGTTTGATTTCGTTCACACACACACCCACACTTGGAATACGAATAAAAATTAATAACTTTAAAATCGAGCTTGGTTCCAGCGGGGCTCCAAGGCATCCAAAGGCATTTTAGTAATTTGTTTGTAAAAACCGTAGCTAATTAAAAAAATATGCTTATATCGATTTGACGTTTGTTTCAAAAGAATCGAAAATGATTTTTTAATACTTAAGGGCAATAAAATAGCTTCTCATTCTACAAGCTCTCGTCAAGCGGCAAGCAGCAATGATAATAGCGCGAACAAGTAGGACAACCCAACATAAATGGCACCAGCTTACAATACGTATGCGTAAATATGTATAATATTCTTAACGTATCGAGGCAAATAGCATATAAACAGCTACTAGTGTTCAGGTAGATCTAAGCAGTTGTCTAGGTGATAGGCTTACGGGTGTTTAAATAAGGCCCATAATAAATCCGATCTAACAATATAGGTTAAGGATCAAACATGTGGTCATTTATAATTTGCCAATATAAAATATCAGCCAAAGCGGGCATAGGGCATCTTGTATGATTCTGATCAAAACCAAGTGAGAACAACTACTTTAGATCTTGGATATCCTTTACTGAACAAATCCTAGATCATATAGATATAGAGGCCAAATTTCAAAATATCGTTTGGGACGTAGATTGCTATCCAGCAAGGCTCCGCTAAATTAACGTGGGCCTCTAACGATTCTCAATCGGAACGGTGAAAATCCACAAAGGTTATTAGGGTTTTAGAACATCTAATTCTGTCCTGACCTTGAGAAATCAGCGTACACTCCTGTTCCTCCATTTAATCGGTTCATCCGGTCTCAACAACAGGGAACATTATGACAGCAATGACGTTAGTTAGGTACTCAAAGTTGCGCGCTGCCCAATGCGCTTAATACTGCCTCGTGTACGTTGAATCGCGATCGCTTCCTTGTTTGAATGTTATCCTATGTTTCTTCCGTCTGACGTGGCAGCCATTACTACCAGCTGCGCTCCTCGAGCAGCATCAGTTCGGTAATTGAGATCTGTTCGGGGTTGTACGCCGCGGCGCTGTGGATGGCAACCCCAATTCAACATTTATTATGCGCTGGCAGCAGACCCCTTTTCCGGAGGGGCGGAAGATTCTCCCTGCACTGACTCGTCCTGCGTGCAACGATAGTTTACTGACCCAATGTCTGTTTGCTGCTTTCGAAGCTGGTGTTGAAGCGTTTTGCCGCTTCTACACTTCAACGTTCAACCGTCTCTACGCTTATATTTGTTATCCTCTAAAGTTATCGTAAAACATTTTACACCTCGTCCAGACAGTGGTAGGATAGGATAGGAGGATTTAGGGTCTGTAGGCCGCGTTTACTCTGTTTACATACGGTGTATGTGGTGGACGGTTGGTTGGGTGGCCGAAATATGCTGCTTGGACAACAACGTTCGTTTCTGCCTTCCCCTAACGTTCATGGCGCCGGTAAAGTCGCCTTCGGTGCCGCCACCACCTGCCCCAACCACTCGTCCTGTTCCGCCTTCTCGCGTTTTCTTCGTTCTCTGCCCAGATTCCCTCTTTACCAGTCTCACGTCCCGCCGCCCCCGTTCCTCCACAGACACATACACATGACGCCCGCATTTCGGTAAGCAGGTAGGCAGTGAGCTAGCCCCGTTCGGCGTTGGGGACACCTGCGAAAGCCGCCATCTGCAAACTTTTAACGGTCCCTTGGAACGGCAAGCGGTAAAGGCAATGCCGGCAGTGGGAGCAACATCGAAGGGCCGCTGCCGTCACAACCACGCAGCCAGCGCATCTTCACGCAGAGAAAATCTGCCGCTGGCTAGTCTCACACTGTCTTCCCCTCGTCAGTTTTCGCTACTTCTGTTCCCTCCATGATTTCGAATGGCCCTAATGGTGAACCCCCAATTTGCCGCTGCTATCTTCCCGCAACTTAGACACTGTTCGGTTCTGCCCGCGATCCCCTACCATATATTCCTGGTTGGATTGGTTGGCATCAGCCTGGCAGACGGCCGTTTGGTCAGCAAACCACGCCATCCTCGAATCCCGACTACTCACCGATCAAGCAGACCGATGCTTTTTCTTTGGTTGGCTAGTCGGTTAGTTGTGCTGTTTTTCACCTTAGTTTTCCCTTTTTCCACTGCCACGGTTCTCTATTCCCGGCTCGGTCATCAGAAATCAGCAGAGTCGGCCTGCGATGACGGCACCAAACACCGAGATGAGTGAGGAAAGCAGGCGGAAGGAAGCAAATGTTAAAGTTTCCAATCGGTACTTGTCGTCGTCGTCGTTATCCAATCTAACCGCTTTTGTGTGTTCGAACAAACATCTAGATTTTTTTGCTTTCATTTCTCTCCCAGGCATTTATATATAGGTAAAAAGAGGGATCAGCACTAGATAGAGGTTGTAGTATTTGTAGCTAGTTGTGTAATAGACGACTAGTATGCTACATGGTAACGAAAACGTGAGCTCCTGGAGCAAAACAAAAGCATTGACTGTGAGGTGTAGATGTGGGGGTTATTGTCGGAGTTTACGGTAGCTTTTGTGATGATTATAGTGTTCATGTTCTAGCGACCGCGCCCGCCACTATCACTGCGTCTTTGGTTGGTTTCCTTTCGTCTTCTAGGCGTAGGCTAAACTGTACACGGAAGGTGACCCCTCCTACGCAATACATAACTTAGGCTTTTTCGCTATTCACTATACCCAAGAAAATCTAAGCTTCGAGCTTCCTTACTTGATAGTGCGCACTACGCTGATGCATGTCTCGATGTTGTGCACACATCTGCTTCGTTCAACTGCGATCTCATCTGTGATCGGTGGTTCTCGTGAACGGACTGAGCTGTCGGACGCGTATCCTGTTTCGTGCCCTGAACCACGGGCCGACCGCTCAATGAACTAGTCAGTAAGGGCAGAGCAGAGCGCCACTCCATTTTGCGGCGATGCCTGCAGAATGAGACGGCCCAAGTGGGTCGCCCATCCATTTTGCCCTACGTGCAGTAATGGCGTTAGAGTTGGCGTTGACCGCAGGGGCAGTTCATATCCCATGTATAATATGTATGAATCCATGACTCGCAATCCTACCACAGTCCCTTATGCTGATCACAAGCCTTACATAAGCAGAAGCTTGTCACTGGCTTTGGATCACTTCCATTGGTGGTACAGCAATCTTATTAAAATATTCCGCCGTCCGTTGAAAGAAGCTCACCAGTTTGTTCGTTCTCTGAGCTTTCGCGCATTCAAGAAGCTATGCTTGCTCGATGGGTGGAGACCGTTGCCGCCGCTGTCAATTCTGCAACTGTGGTGAGTTCCTGCAGTCTTCGACTGCCATTACAACGAGCGGCTCGCTCCGTGCTGATGTCGTGCTTGTGTGCCTTTCTTTGTCGCTCCCGCGACAAATAATACGCTGTGTCTGGCACGAGCATTGCGCCGTCCTCACATAATGCAGCGCCTGGCAAGCCGCGCGACCGGGCACGCCGCATCAGGCAAGCCGTCAGCTTTCGCCGCCTGCTGCTGGCAACGGCAGTGTCGTTCACTGTCGTCAAGTTCTATCTGCACAAGCAGGCAGGCATTGATAACCGTCCACACCACAGCGTCCTGCTGCTCCTTTTCCACCCAAAACATATTGCATGGCTGATTACCATGCTAGTACTCACAGTACAGCCTGCCAGGCATTGTCGCAGCTTTAACCTCTACTACACAAAGGTGGCCGGTTTGCTGAGGCTGTACAGCAGAAAACCTTGGCGGGTTACATGGGGTGGCAACTGTATGCCGTTCTATCTACCTAGAGGCAAGGGACAATGAAAGACTCCACATTCTTTGCAGACGCAACATTTAACATGGATAAGCGTCTTACTACTAGCAGAACAATTTTACCGGTGTCAAACCCAAACTTTTTCTCTGCCAAACGAACTCTTCAGAACCTTGGAGCTCTAGTGCTTTCTCAACATCCCCAAACACCTCACAGTCTCCTCAACTCCAAGAGAGCAGCCCCCCTCCCCCCTTGTATCTCGCCGTCGTGGTTCAGATGTTGGCGTCAAACTTCTTGCTCACTCTCCGTACCGCTGCTCTTTTGGCCTTCGTTCGAGCAACGCCTGATGGGCGGTGGGTGTAGTTTAGTGTAAACTTTGATGGATCACCGATGATTGATCCGCTTGATTCATGCTAGCATTGTGCTGGCTGCCCCAGCAACGAGCAAAGCAAAAAGGAATACCCCCGACTGGCCTGGTGACCGAATGCGTACAAGGGGCGGTCCTAACGAAAGCAGAATATCCGATGGGGTAGTTTCTCCGTATACAGTACGAATTCATATGGACGAGTCTAGAGTAGGAGTCGAGAGACACCTTGCAAAGTGACCGCAGACGCAGGGCAATCCATCGTAGCTTCTTGCACCCGCTTGCACTAGTTATACTGGCTGTCCATGCTAACCCCATGTTGAGTGAGGCGCCTTCTGCAACGCAGTCGTCGTTGCTTCGACCAGTGGCGTATTAGGCCGACAGCCAGCTGGCTCACTTGCATGATTGCGAGGTCTGATGACCGCAAACGGGTCTCGTTGATTCGCCCAGTCGTCGATTGTTTTGAGGCTGAGTACAGCATTCTCCTGGCTTGGGTAGAAAGCAGCTAGTTCCCCTCATGTCTGTTCTCTTCTACCTTGCGCATAGTTCTGTCCATGGGGACTGACGCAGACAGACTCTAATTAGCAATTTTCTCACCGCATGGTCTTTGCATGGGATCCCTGTACTGGTGAGCTCCGCGAGTAATACGCCATGCCATGAGGTGATCAATTATTTTACCGTTCTTTCACTCATCGCAGCAGGAGAAGTAGTAGCTAAAGCATGCTGTTCCCGTAGCTCCAGTCGCCTTTCTGCTGTCGTAACGCGACGACGCTACTATCCAAACGCTCATCGTTCTCTTAGCAGACCCTTCTCTTGGCTCATTGATCCCTCACGGGAGCTCGTTACTGTTACATGATTTCAGCATCATATCATTGTTTGCTTGTGACTCTCTGTCAGAACGTGCATGTGACGTAATTATGTACGGGTGTATATACGTGTACGCCGTACATTGATACCTTACCTAGTTTATTCATTTAGCTAAATGCATACTGTTTTTCGTGCCTGCAATTTCAGCTTGAGGACAGCGTGGTGAGGAAGCACGCTCACCAGAGCAGTGGATCAAATAATAATAATAATCAAGTTAAGAAGTGCATATCAACGCCAAACTGCACTTCCAAACCGCCTGGTTCGACTCCGTTGTCGGGCAGGTACCAACAGCAGCAGCAGCAGCAACAACAAAAACAGTTGCAGCAAATCACCGTGCCACCACCGACGAAACGGAAGCGCTCTGAGGAACGGGGCTTGACGCTCGTTGACGACGGCAAAGAGCGGGGAGACGTCTGCGCTATTTCGGCTGCCAAGAAGCCGCGAGACGAGGAAGATCCTACGACCAAAAAACTTCAGGAGACCGAGGAAGCGCTGCGCTCTCTTTCGGGCGCTGGACTCCTTTTGCAAAGCGGTCGAGACGACCCTGCTGATACACCATTTGTAAATCTCTTTGAGAAGGAGGCGCAGGCTGAGAAGCCGCCCTCCGCCGTCGCAAGTGCCTGGAAAGACGTTGTGAGCGTATCATCTTGTTCCTCGAACGGGTCGGCGCCTTCCCCTGCGCTCAATATTGTCACTTCCCCTAGAGTTGACCTGAGCTGCGTGAAACAGGAACCGCCCTCAACGCCTCAAGCTACCGCGGTACGCAACGTCTAATGAAAGATTAACCTTGCCATACTGATTGATAGACATACCATTTTATTCGATGTTAGCATATTAGGGAGTGATTGACATCAATCAGTTACAGAATGTTGCATTTGTGGTTTCAATAAGCTACTACAAATTTAGATATTTGGTATTTGGCAATGTAAAATGCCGGTACGTTTCACTTTAGCACGACGTGAATACGTTAATCTTCATCCTGGTGACGACACTGAGAGAGAGAATTAAAAAAGTCTCTGTTTTGCAGGCATCCCCTGAAGAAAATAAAATCGAGGAACCTTTGGCTGTCGCTCTAAAGACTAGTGAAAGCCCTGAGGCGACCTCAAGTCCCCCAGCTACAACTAACGTTGGTAATAATAGTGTAACAAATAACAGCAGCGGCCACAGCAACAGCAGCAACAACAACAGCAGCAGCAGCAACAACAGCAACAACAATAGCAGCAACCAAAATATCAATAATAGTAGCTGCACAGTAAAAGTTAAGAGCGAGCCTCATTGTACCTCCACGACCGATAGTCCCGCAGCTCCCACCCAAAGCTCAAACCCCTCAACTTGTGCAACAACAACAACAACACACGCCCCGAACAACTCAAGTGGCAGTCCAGGTAAAACGCCCTCGGCGACCGCTTCAGCACCTTCCAGACTGCAGACTGCGCTAGCAGCTGCCAGTGTAAATATTCCTTCGAAAGCAGCAGCAGCAGCAGCAGCAGCAGCAGTAGCAGGCATCGTTCAGCAACAACAACAGCAGCAGCAGCAGCAGCAGAAATCAACATCTCCCTCAGCAAACGTAACCGCAACAGGAGCAATTGTCCCAACTGCTGGAGCCCCTGTGGCCACGACGCCCAATGTCGGGTGTAATTCTGTATCAGCGGTAACACCTATTATCAAACGCTTCAAACAAGAACTTCCAGACGACGATGATGATGACGATCTAAACAATTTTTCCGTTGCCCAAACTTCATACTTGGTACGCACTATTTTCTGTTCATACGATCGTTGTCTCACACGAACGGAATTTTGAGCTCGGTATGGTAAATATAGGTGATAGATCGCGTTTTGTAGATCAAAGCGTTATAACATAGGCTTATTGAGAGACTAAAAGGTGGTATGTTATTTAATTAGGCCATAAATAAAAGGACTATAGAGGAGATTAACACAGTTGTCAACGTCGTTTGTCGTGCACGGGTTTGCAGAACCAGTATACGAGTAACAGCAGCTATCGATCATTGTACAACGGGTGTTCGCCCGTTTCGCAATCGGGTCCCCTACCAAGCTTACATCAATTACAACCGAGCCTTGCGCCTCTGGCGTCCTCTGCACTGTATAGTAGTCCATCGCTGTACCACACCATGTCACAAAGTCCATCACTGCCACCAGTCACTCCGGGAGTGACGACGCTACAACCTGTCAAAATCGAGGATGCAGGCGATAATTCGTGCTGTAGCACGGGTTCGGAAACCTCACGCATGGCTACAGAGTCACCGAAGTTAGCTGACCCCAACCCGATGAGGTTTGTGTTTTAGAGAGGCAAATGTAGTAACGTACTTCGGAGTACGAAAAGTGGTCAAATTCGAAATTGTCAGAGTCAACTCGCGTTAACTAACAGTTGTGTGTTTGGTTCATTCCTACGTCGTTTGGTGCGTTTTTGTCTGTGCGTGTTTGCGTAGCCTGTACGTTTACATTCTCTGCTATTTGTCCGGTTTCAGGTTTCCGTCGCATTCTTCCAGATGCGGTGCGGAATACACGTCGCTGGGCCATATGTCAGGTCCGGGCTTCAGCCCTACTAGCCAGACGCTAGGGGCAATGACGTACCAACAGCTTACTACTATGCCTCAGCATGCCTCTGGCTCCGCCTCCGACCATCCGGCGTATACGGATCTTAACAAATCTAGTGAATCTATCAAGAATCTCTACGTAAGCATTTAACCGAATTTGTCTTATTTTTCAATGCAGTGATTCACATATGTCTATATAAATACATACATCTGTATATAGTAACACCTAATCGTATAATATAATGCAATGATTAGTGTTTTAAATATGTGTTTCTCCATTGTTGTAGATTATGCAATCAAGTTCAACTATAACCGCTCGAGCCAAAAACCAATTATTTTTTGTGTAACGAGACAAATGTTAAGCCCGTGTTTGTTAGATAAAGGTAGAGGAGAGGGTAATTTATATAGGGTCTGTATCTATAAGCGTCTACAGTAGATTACGGATTTGACATGAAATTGAACCTTGTTTTCTTTCTTTCCGCAATGACAATAATATTTTTCTTACAGCCGGGAGAAGGAGGTGGGGGTCCCGACGACGAGCCAGGATTGGTGATCGACGAGGGCGGAATGAGGCACCGAGGTCAGCAGGGCCCTGTTGGCTCTGCTAGCCCACCGGGAGGGCCAAACCAGGGTCCTAGCCAGGGTCCTGGGGTTCTCACCGCCCCCGGCGGCCAAGTCGGTTCGCCGTTACACTCTACACATTCATCGCATTCGTCGTTGTCGACGGCCTCGCAGCCTCCATTGGGACTCGGTGGGCCGCCCCCGGGCGCGCTTGACGATGAGCTCGTCTCGGGTGGGACGTGCACGCCCGAGTCGCCCAGTCGGCGGACTCCCGACGGAACCATGAAGGATAGCAAGTGCCCCACTCCGGGCTGCAACGGGACTGGCCATGTCACGGGCTTATACTCGCATCATAGGAGCCTATCTGGATGTCCGCGCAAGGATAAGATAACTCCTGAAAGTAAGTAGCTATATAGCTTGATGGCTTTGATTAGATTATCATATGTCGTCTATGTCATATATATTCTAAAATAGGACAAAAACGTCAGTTTCCCGCTAACTGCTATGATAGCCTTGAGGTATCACGCATTTGAATACAAAATAGGATTAACTTTGCCTGCTATATAGGTCATTCATGACTTCAATTCAAAACAACATCAGTCTAACTCGGCCAATAGATTAGATGACTACCTCATAAACATCGGCACTAAATGAAGTTTGACTAATGTTCACCAAGACGAAGAGGTTCGTCATCATAGAAATGTCACGAAACGATACAGGAGAGCTTTTTCCTTTTGCAATAACTTCAGTACATACATTTACCATCGAATAGGTCGATAATTGCATCATACCCATAACAGCTTCTAACATGATGCCCTTACGCCCTTTAATGCAATCAGTTCTGGCTCAACATGAGACGATTCTCAAGTAAGTTTATCGAGACGTTTGAAATTGAGTCGTCAACAAAGAGTCGATACAAACGCACTAGTTCATGGTTTCGTTGCTTGGTAGCTTTCGCCGATTTTTACTAATAGAACTTTCTAGTTTATTTTCAATATAAAAAATAAATATTCAATACGTTTGTCGCATTCTATTTGTTGTGCCTTGCCAGTGCTTCGTTCTTTTTCAGCTATTTATTATTACTATGAGATTAATTATTAGAGGTTTATTTTTTATTGAACCATGCACGTTCGTGTCATTCTTTTATTTATTTTGTCCTGGGTCTGAATGTAACAATTTATGTATGATACAAAACGTATTGCGACTGTATAACGTATCAATAACCGTTCTTACTTCGTGATCGATTATTTACGACCAGTAGTATCCGATTTACGAAGAGGTGAGGTTTTGATTGCACAAAGTCAAGAGCGGTGAGCCAAATTTATGATTGAGTTCAAGCGCATTGGGATTGCCTGCATTTGTACATTCGTACGTGCGCTTACCTGCCCCTCCCCCTCCCCCTCCCCCTCCTCCTCCTCCTCCTACTACTACTACTACTACTACCCCCTCCACCTTGTCACAGTTATCATGATTTCAATTTCAGTTATTAAATTTTATTTTGATCATCTTTGCAGGCCTAGCTCGAGTATAATTGTTAATATAGTGATTCTTTTTTCTCTCTCTTTCGTTGTTTCGTTGTCGTTCGTGTCTACGTTCTACTTCATGATGCTGATGGTGATTATCACGGTGATTAGGTGCCCCACGCCGGGTTGTAATGGCCGCGGGCACGTGAACAGCAACAGGAACTCGCACCGAAGTTTGTCGGGTTGTCCAATAGCGGCTATGGAGAAGCTGGCTCAGAGGGAACTGAAGGGCGCGCAGGCCAAACAGGCCCACCAGGCCCAGCAGGTGGTCCAGCAGCAACAACAGCAACAACAACAGCAGCTCGCGCTGGGATCCACCGGACCTAGTGCTACTGCCTCCGCCCCACAACAAGCTCAGTCCGCTCAGCTGCCTTCTACTGGTGAGTATAAGACAACTGTCATATTACCACCGCGTTAGTGTATTGGTGATGTATATGATTGTTAACCGGAGGAGCATGAAAGTAGTTCTGATTCAAACCTGGACATCGGCAGGTGTACTTTGGTCTTTCAGGAAAAATCAGAAGAGTAATAGAAAGGGCGATGGATATTATCATAATCTTCCTCCTCTCAGTCCCTCCAGATGGCTCGTATTGAGTCTCCCACGTTGACAGCTGTTAGAAGCAATGTAAAGCAGCAGTACTGATGCCTCTTATAGGTTCAAGTTGTATGTGTCTTGATGGATGGCAGTGATACCTATATCATAAGTGCTTGTTAAAAGTATATTACTTACACGTGATTCTGTGATGTTCGGCGAAGCGGACCTCAGAGTTCACTGACTTTCCACATTTTTTTTTTTTTGTTTTTGCCAATTTGTACAGCTAAGCCAACTGCGAGCTAATACGTACAAAAGATTCAAGCTGAAAATCTACCAAAAAGTGAAGAGGAAGTATATTTCGTGCTTAGCAACGATATTTATTCAGTCTTACTATCTCTTCAACGCATTAAAATGGTGATTTCGATATTGCTGATCTGCAGTGTTACTGTCAAGTGAAGTCGCGAAGGCAATGAACGACGGCTTTTTCAGAATCTGATTGCTGTGAACCTATAGGTGCCATCTAAGGTAAACTGTGCTTGATCTTTTCTTCGGTTGTCAACAGGACTGTTGATGCGTTCACTGATGAAACGAGAGGTTGAATGAGACCTCTGTCGAAATACGTACTGCCTTTGTCAATGAATGATTAATATTTCACGCTCAACAATATTCAGTCAATCATTAATGGGTCCCGACCGTGCCCTTTCTCCTGTATCCCACTTGCTCACTTATCCACTGCGGCTCGTCAGTCGTTGTAAGTTATTAAGCTGGATGGAACCACTGTTAAGTAAAACAATTATACTGCTGATAATTAACTGTTTCAATTAGCCTACCCCCACGTGCTTAAATAATATTCCACTGTGCAAATGAGCGCAGAAGGTGCACGTCGTCTTTCTAGCCGGCACAAGCAGTTTCGAATCAAGTTGGGTACGATTGTTAGTCTGATGGTTGGTCACCGTGATCGTTCAATGCCTGCAGCTTCTACTATGGAAAATTCGAAGTAGCAATGAGAATATCTATCTATCTATCTATCTATCTGCTCCCAGAAAGAGTCTCTCAATGCTAACTATTCAGTTTTCAACCCTGGCTGTTGATGGCCAGCTAAGATCTGATAGTTATCAAATCCTGATGTTCAAAAAAAAGCTCACAAACACCTAGGTTGGCTGCCCTCATCATTGACAGTACGCTTACGTATACGGTTGGATTCATTGTGACAGTTCGTGTTTCCGTTATTTTGTTCTATCTTGCCGTTGATATTGTTCTTCAGCGCAATCGGACCGAGTACTGCGTCCCATGTGTTTTGTCAAGCAACTAGACGTCGGTGATTATAAGTATCCTGGCTACGTGGCACAGGCGACTCCGCGAACACAGCTGGCGAAGGAATTGGAGAAGTACTCGCGACCTCACGATTACATAGTGCCCCCGGTGGGTGTCATGGGCGTGGGCGGAGTTGGAGGTATGGGCGTAGGGGTGGGGGGAGGCGTTGGTGGAGTAAGCGGGTACTACCCCGCTCCCCCGCATCGTGCAGCCCCGCACGCCTCTTCCGGCATCCACTGCAAGAGCCAGGCCACCTCTCCCAATTCGTCCCCTCCGTAAGTATTATACACATATATGTATGCTCAAAAATGAGCACATATGGAGTTAACTGATCGTGCTGTCACTGGTTTGTCCTGCTGGCTTTGACTTTATACGTTATTGAAGATTCTGATACGAGTATATGGGAAAACGGTCCTGCGAATTCTACGTTGCATGCAACCTTCTGAGAGTTAACTTGATTATAGGCCATTTGAGGCATTGTTAATTGAATTCCCTAGAATTGTGCCTCATCGAAACATATTCACTGACCAGCTATTCGCTTTAATATTTGTAGGAACTCCCCCAGCTGTCTGCCAAGAGGATCCAAGCCATTCGGCAGCGGGTGCTCCGAGCAGACTGAGCCGGTCGATTTCAGCACGGCGCCCTCAGGCCACCACCGTGAGTTTGCTGGTTACGCTTACGACACCAGCAACTCCAGCGATCACTTTATGAGCACGATCGAGCACGACAGGTAGGCATCAACTCCGCGGACCTCTTGGCCCGCGCTCCTCTGGAGAGCTCTAAAAGGAGAGAGCAGACGAAATCAGCAGAACGTTGCATAACGCTTGCGAGAGTTTAAGGATATCCTTAATCCGTTTGTTGCATATCGTATGTAGCAGATTAGTGGCAGCTCCTTTTTGCAAACAGTAGAACAGTCGGTTTTGTTTGTCATATCTGTGGAAAGTGCGCATATTCAGTTGTATATGTTCAAGTGGATTACCATGTAATATCTGAGACAAAACCATAAATAATCAATACCATCCCCCCTTTTCATCCCTGCCGAATTGTGAAATGCGAGGCAGCGCGGGCCAAGACACATTCGTATGTTTGGGTAGGGAACATTGGCGTTTCATGCTGACTAAGCCGAAGATATTCTCTCCTCTTCCTGTAGATCGGCCACGGCAGTCGCTGTGCCAGGAGCCTCACCAGCGATCCTCTCAAATCTGAACCAGACTCAGGGGGGATCTCACGAGCTCAAATGTCCCACGCCTGGCTGCGATGGGACTGGCCACATCACCGGTAACTACTCGACGCATCGCAGCCTTTCAGGCTGCCCGCGCGCCGGACCAGGCCACGCCAGGAGCTTATACAGAGCTTCATCGTCTTCGTTTGCTGACAAAACGGATGCCGGGGGAGCTGAACCCCTTCGATGTCCAGTGCCTGGATGCGATGGATCCGGTCACGTGACGGGAAAATTTCAGTCGCACCGGAGTGCTTCCGGCTGTCCTATCGCCAATAAAAACAAGATTAAACATGAGTTCGCGTCAGGTACGAAAGCGCCAGGATATCATCATAACTATATAGTAACGCTTCGATTTTCTTTTTGTCACTGACGGTAATGTTCATTAGCGTTTTTGCATAAATAATACGTATGTAAATCGACAGGGTAGATAGGGGCCCGGAATATATAGCCGTGATATTGTGGCGGCTGTGATATAATTTGTGACATTGCTGAAGTAGACCCGTTTTTCAGATCCGCAACTTTCATCCTCAGATTGACCTTAAATTATTACCTTGAGTCATTTAATGTCATTTCGATACTATCGGTGATTATTATTCTATTAAATTATAGATGTATTATATCTCGTCTCGCATTTATTTCACTTTTCATAATTTCTAAATTGAAAACGACTAGGAATAGAAACCCTATTTATCATAGGTTCTATCATCACTATATAGCGCTGAATTCTAACGACGTTTTCGTCACTTGTTATATACAGGTGAATTTGCGGCTTCCGGCAAGCTGGAGCCGAGCTGTCTGACGCCAGGATGCGATGGCAGCGGGCACGCAAATGGTACCTTTCTATCTCACAGGAGCCTGTCGGGATGTCCACGCGCAACGCGCCCGCCACCCAAGGAGGCCGACGATGGATCGGGATCCACCTCTACCCAGGACAATAACGAGGTCCGTGCACTCGAAGATGAAATCATCGAGTTGCAGGAATACAACGCCAAGATGGAATCGGAAATGCACCGGCTGCGCACTGGCATCGCGCAGATGGAGGCACAAACACGGATGGCTGAAAGCGACAACACCGCCCTCGAAGAAAAGACCCATAGTTTGCATGAGTATTACGAGTCGTTGAAGTCGAACTTTATCCACCTGCTAGACCGTACTGGAACTACATACGGTGATGAAAAGCCCACGCCAGAGAATTTTGACTCGTACCTCAGTCGACTACAGTCGCTTTGCATGGACCCCTCGAAAGAGGACGGCAGTAGATTGCTGTTTTCTACCGTACGTCAAGCATTACAGGACTTTAACATGCCCATGTAAGCAACGGAGGATCGTCGAGTAAATTGGTCACAAATAGAAAAAAATCCCGTATAGGAAAATAGGTTACTTGAAAGCTGAATGTATTACAAGATATTTTTTAAACATAAAAATACGCGGTATTTATCGTGCGTAAAAACTGATATATAACTATATGGATACACCCAGGGAAAGTACTGACCACATTGAATCTTTTCATTAGACCTTGCACAAGGAAATTTTGTACATGTACGTTACAACCGTTAACAACTTGTGCCTATTTTACCCACCTTGCAGCGACCATCCCAACGGCTGGGTACGATCATAAGCCGCTTAGGGGACCTCATAAGACTGAAGCAAGCGAATAACAACGGACCGAAGCTGCTGATCAACCATGAACCATTCTATACGTGTAGTCTCTGTTGAAAATCCGAGATCTTCAAACAGGTCCTTCAGCAACGTATTTTTAAAGACTTCCACATCGATCCTCGGATTCGAAGGCTCACAGGTCGTCGAAATCTATCATGAAAAATCGTCAACACCGTGGACTAACGTCAAGTGTTTAGAGTCATCAAAACGTTTGAACATCAAATATGTGCTAGAAAACGTTTCACAGTGAAGAGAAAACACCAACAAGTTCTGTTATATCGTCTTGCCGATTAGACTAAGACCTATATACGAACTCGATTACGGGAAATACTGCAATTTTCCCTTCCTCCCTACAAGGGGGAAACAGGCAGTTGCATATAGCTCCGACTAATTCTTAGTAATGGCTGATACTACTTATCAACTGGAGTAACAGGGTGAAAAATCGTTGTTTAAACCACATGAACCAAAAAGAAGAAGCCGATTCAAGTGAAACTTAATTGAGATAAATCACGAAAACGAGATTATCATTGAAGAGATAAAATGGAATAAGTGATGATGGCAGACTTCAAAAAATCGTAAACGAGAGCTTGGTGATAATAGTAAAACGACATAACTGCTGCACGAAACCTTCTGCTGGACTGCTTGCACTATCGAAAATCAGGAACACTTGTTCCTCAGCTTCGCTGTAGTTTCCGCTAAAGCTAAATCTCACAGATCTCCTTAAACAGCCCCCTCCGATAAATCTGATAGCCTATGTACTTCACCAAGTCCTTTTCCTTAAAGCTAGTGCAAGCTGGATATTGCTGCATGGTCCCTCAGGCCAACAGGGAGGCGGCAAGCGTTGGCAAATCTGGACTGTCCCCGCCGCGTTATCGGCAAAAAGCAAGCAAGCTGAGATATATATATATATATATATATATATATATATATATATATATATATATGCAAGATAAAACATGTTAAAATATCAGCAACCATCAACAGCGAGGCTAAGAGCTAAAATATATAAGGAGACAATGATAAAATGAAAACATAAAATTCACATCCCGGCACCCAGTGCGCGAATCCCTACGGTGAAGCGAAGCATGAAAATGTCAGGAAACATATTGAACACCCTTTTAGCAATTATAACTATTAGATACTGTAGCTGCTGCAGTACCACCTCTAACATGATCACACTATTACAAGTACTATTACTACCACTATAACGACTCTATGTAGAGAAATACGTAATAATATTACATTATGATATGATGAAGACACTGAAGAATTATGGCAAGAGTATAGTGAAGCTGTTTGTCAACGCTGCTGATACTCACCCATTTATCATGCAGATCATAATTATAATAAAAGTTATTATTATTATGATCCATGAATATGAAGACAGCGAATTATATATATATATATACATGGAACGAGAAGAAATTCTGGATTCGCGGACTTGTTTGTAAAAAGTCACTGTACATGAACTGTAGGATGAACGAATGAACTTGGAAAGACTCAATTAAACAAGTTAACGATGTGGGTAAATGGGAAAAGATCTGCGGCTGAAACAAGGCGGACAGGCGTTTTCCTTGACGGAAACCAACTGTCTTACCATACGCAGTAAGTTTTTGGGCCTCAGGCTTGAAAAGGACGAAAAGTTACTTAGCTTTTATCGAGCTATAAAGCAACAACGTCGACTCTTAGGTGCAATGCCGGAGCGCAGCTTGGAGTTCGAACGTTCTTCTCTCTGACAACTTGATATAGAAATCCCCACCTATATAATTGATATAAAAAGGAACAAGTACACGCAGACACTACTCCATTTAGAAAACACGATTTTCAGTTGGGCCTTCGGGGTCAAGTTGAAGTTGAAGCCAGCGTATGTGTGAACTTACGACTGAGTGAAACTATGTCGACGATAGACGAGAAGCAAACCGAAGGGAAAAAGCCGATAAAAGAAAGAGAACAACAGCTACAGATATCTGCATCGCCGCTATGTAATGTATTATTTTATCCCATGTGATATTATATTTTCGTTAATATTATTATAATAATAATACTTATACTAATAACAAATAAAGTATGAATAATTATTATTACTAATAATAGTACTACCACTACGCAGATATAATACAGATAATAAGGTATTATCTCTGATTTGAGCGTAACAAAATGATCCCCTTTATTCGTTTGTATATCGAGGTACGGTGCGAGGCTATCGAGAACCCCTAAGTTCGCACTAAATTTCACCCGGTTTCCGTATGCTTGAGAAAAACTAGTTATCGACTATAATTGAGTAAAATATAGATCGCTGCTTGCGAGCGAACACGCAGCTATGCCAAGCAGCATTCGATGCCGCGGGCGTCATCTTCGATTACGAGAAAAGATAAAGGGATCAGTGCTAGATATAAGAACGAAACACAGAGAAAGTAAGGACAGGCAAGAAGAGTGGTCCTTTTGACGTATGTTCGATGCTAAATACAACCACACAAGATAGAAGAGACCATACCATCAACTATACTTTATATCCTTTACAACAGGAACTCTGTGATGAGAAACGCTTAACTGAAGTAGCAGAATACACTTTGAACTGATTCGTCTCCTACTGTTCCTGAATAGAGCGTCTTCAAAAAACGACACACGATGATCATCATCATCCCGGAGCCGCGAGAAAGAGGAAAAAATTGACGAAAGTAAATAACGGCTCTATCTAAAAATATAGCTTTGGTGCACCCCAGTACCCCTCGTATTTCAGTCACTACATATGGATTCACCCATTTCTACTGCCTGTCATTGTGTTCACGCTACTATCTGGAAAAATTACCGCTCTCCGGTAACATGTGTTTTCACATCCTCCTCGTTGATAGTCTTTTCAGTGATAATAAAGTAATTGTTGACGCTTTAAACCGGAACTATTTTGAGTGCTTGTATTTTCTGTCGCCATCACTTACGACCTCAATCCCTCTCATCGATAGAATGTCTATAGGGTGCACCGCCCTGAGCTGATTTGTAGCTTATTGTGTTAGGATTAGAGCAAAATTACAGGAAAGTGAAAAAAACCAATCTGTTAAGTCGACAGTCCATCGATGCCTCTAAAACAGGATCGTAATAGCCACTGGTTTTCCAGGACAAACTGTGGCCAGTTCTCCACTGCTAGTGTGAATCAATAACAATTACCATCTAGGATACGGAAAGAGATTGCAGTGATGATACTAAGGAGGGCAGAATCATGGCATTGAAAATGCAGTGTATATTTAAAAAATATTTACAAACCAGAAGAGAGAAATAACAAGTTGGATCCTGCAATGCTGAAATGATCTAGAGAAGCTTGGGGAATTTAGTCCTAATCGGTGGGGGGTGCTGGACGCGCCCCTTCCCCAAACAGGACGGCCCTCGGCAACTAGTGTACATATAGACTAAACTAGAAAAAAGCGAGTGAGTAAGAGAGAGAGAGAGAGAGAGAGAGAGAGAGAGAGAGAGAGAGAGAGAGAAAAACATGAGAAAGAAAGAGTTTCACAGAGACGCAAAATGAGATTGCATATAACACACAAAAAGGAAAAATACAGAATACGGCAACGGAAAAGAATAACTATGTAACGCTCTAATGAATTTCAAGGTGTCTATACATGAGGAGAATTTCCAGTAGGCCGACTCATGTGACGCTTCCTCGAGATAGAAAAAACACTCAGCAACTCTTCACATTAACACAATGCATCCACAAAGCACAATGCATCCAGAAAGCATTCATACGACTATCTGCCATCGACACCGACTACAACAACGGCACTATCGCTAACGACATTGAAGAGAAATACAGTAAAACATCAACAACACAATCTCTCTGTACCCCACTCCCGCCCCACTTCCATCCCACTGCCTTTTCCTCATAAATTTAGAAACAAAAACTATTTGAACGAAAAAATGACATGTTGGCCATTTGGTGCTTATTCTAGTTTTATCTTGAGGTGCCGTTCGCCGTGCCACAATAGATAACATCGTTGGCCAACTAACGATTACCACTGGACACTAATACTTCAACAGGACGAGACAAAAAGTTCTTTGTTCCGCCTCGAAAGCGCTGAGAACGTCGAGTGATTGAGGGGTGCGACACAAAAGAAACAGATAAGTACATTTCGCTGTGTAGATTGGCGAACTTACCTACACGCAGCATCTTGCATGTCGCTAGCCGAGTAGATGAAACTGGACGCCATTTTTTTCCAGAGAGAACAAGACAAAGGGATGGTCTCCTGCACGGATAAGAAGTACGTGAGCTACGAGGGCAACAGTTGACGTCAAATTGATAAGCTGTCTGCCGCCATGCCAATAGAATTATACAGCAGTGGCTCCCCAAGCTCATTCAATATCATCGAAAGAAAGAAGCTATGTGCGACTTTTTTTTTTATCACTTCTAGTCAAAAACGAAAACATGTGACGAGCCGGTCCGTTTTAGCTGAGTTACGTATTGAATAATGCATTGATCCTAATAGATGGAGTCATCACGTAAAACGTGTAGTTTAGGAAACAGTTGTCGTTTAGGACAGCACAACAAAAGTGACAAAAAAAAAACAGAATCACTTTACGGAAACTTAAGGCCCGGCCGGCGGCACTCTGTTGGTATAGAACGTCTCTGCTACTGACGCATTGATCTATCTAAATAAAACCTATAATGTTGGTTTTGAACCAAACGATAATAAGTCTTTTCCATATAAATAGATAAAAATAGATATTTGATAGGCTTCAAATCGTTGACACCATTTAGATATGTAGAAGTACTTCTTAGGTCTAATACGAGCAGCTGTAGACTCGTTAGAAATCAGGAACTCATGAATACATACTTATGATATTATACACAAAACACTATTTATAAAGTTCATTTTTTTTTCAATTAATATTTATTATTATCCGCAGTAATACCAACATTGTTATTATCAAATATTATGTATATTTCACTATTTGAGGGCTACAGCTCTTGTCATATCTACATCGATGAAAAAACCCGCTCCTTAAGGAAAACAATGTGTTCGCTCTAAAATAACCATAATAATAATAAGGAACAGGTAACACTTTAAGCCTCGTTATTGGTTTCTCCGTCTTGTTTCGTCCATTCCTTCGCTCGATTGTAATTTGTTTTGTTACAGAAGCTAGCATCAGTGAGGTGCGAAACACACATGTTCGCTTTCTTTGTGCTCAGTTTGTCGTAATGCGGCACTAGAAATCTGGATATATGCTAGGGGTTGAAAGACGAGATGGGTTTTCCAGTCACTTCGGCAATCCAGTCTAAGTAACGCGTAACACGCACGTAAACGCCGGGAACGTCCCTCGAACCACAATCAATACCCCACGAGACGAGGCCGGCCAGCGCGTACCGACCGTCATGACGATAGCATGATAGGGGACCCCCACCATCACCTTTGCACGAATCTTCACCTTCTTGACTTCCAGCACAAATGAAACCCTCGAACAGCTTAAAGTAAGGTCCGAGTCGTGTCCGTCGAAGCTTCTGCTGGCAGTTAACGTTCTCGATAACAGGCACTTTGACCTCTTTCATGATATTCGAATAGCTTCCACTACGGTAGGAGTTCTTACCCCAGCCAGTCACGATACAGTCATGGCCCTCGTATGATTCGCCCGGATTGGGTAGGCAAATAGGCTGAATATGCGGTTGGAATTGTATGGGACCGTCCACTTCGAGTACGGCAATATCGTTCCAAAGGGAAGCGTTGCGGAAGTTAGGGTGGATGATAATATTCTTGACGAGGTAGTCGGCATGGCGGTAGAATTCGACTTCGCTCTTTGTGTCCCACTCTCCGAGACGTACCACCAAAGGTATGCCCGAAGCCTGTGACTTGTATACACAATGGGCCACAGTAAGGACGTGACGACTGCTGATTAGGGTACCTCCACACTCAAAGTGAACTTGTCCATTTATGTTCTTTAGAACAGCCGCTTGCCAAGGCCATTCACCAAACTCTGCTTCCCCTTTGGCATGCTTCTGTAGGATCCGACTGTTGAGTCCGTTGTCATTACGTATACCGCATGAAAAAGTAATGTCGCTCGTTTCGTGAGCTCCCCTAGGTTCCTTGCAGCATAGTTGATCAATCCCGGGGCAGTTCTCGTCACCACCGAGCAGACCATCGAGCGGAATCTCATTCTGGGGTGGGCTTTTAGTTCGTGCATCGAGAATCCCTGACCCGTCATCATTGATGTGCCCCTGGGTGCATTGGTAGAATGGCACACAAATACACTGACCAGGAGGAACATCATCAGGTGCTGGGGGATCCTTCTGTACACCTCCATTTTGAATCGGGCCTAGATTTGGTAACATGCCACCTTGGTTGTATGGATCATTGGGATTATCCCGCCTCTGTTCAATCGGAGTTGCTATGCTGGGTACATTTTGTCCGAAATATTGTTGTTGACCAAATCCACTGCCATAAAAATATTGTCCAACAACTGGTCTCTCGGTACTTTGAGTTTCCCGAAACGTGAAACTCTGTCCGACTGCGACACTAAGAACTATGCTCCCAAGCAAAACGCAGCTGTAGTCACTGAAGGTCTTCATAGCACAGTAATCGGGTGCGAAGTGATTAACTAAACAACACCAGGTTTTACTCACAAAATAACAGCTTTTTTTTCAGATACAACGGCCTCCTCCACGCCGCTATGCGAACTGATCGAAATTGATTGATCAACGTTTGGTGGCCGGCTGGGCCGTCACCCAGCGTCGTTCGCGTCGAGTGCGCGTCTCTGCAAAATAAAAGAAAAATCAGCGAAGAATAGCAAAGTCAACAATTGCGTCGCTTCACACCCCACCGATGCTCTACTACCGCTCCTGTCATAATAGGCCACTGTAAACGACTGCTACTGATGAAGGCAGCTTGAAATGAAGTTCGCGCCTGTACATAACATATACAGCGGTTACGTCATATTTACTCAACACTAATACTGCTCTTACGGGACGCGTGCAGGCGTCTGCTTTATAAACCAACACGGTTAGAAATACGAGGGGTGTTAACCAATCCAAGTTCAGTCCCAGTCAACAGGTCAGAATGTCCGGCCGCAGTCATATTATACAATAAAGGATAGATCAAACGCTAAGCAGCCAGAAAAGCAGCGGCCATCAAATCACATCGACTTGATACGAAACAAAAGATGCTATCTCGGCAATTCTTCTAAACGACGCTCCACGACCATATTTACGTCTGCCAACAGGCCAACCAACACATGCCAACATACATATATATATAGACACACACAGACGCCACTAAATCAGTTGGTTTTTCTTGTCGGGTCCGTCAACTGGATACGATGCAATCGTGACGATTCTGGGTATTGTAAGGGCAACTCTGCCAGAAAAGATGCCCTGTGAAAAAGTGGCGCTGATTCGACGGTGCAAAGCCGAGAGCCGGCTGGCCAGCGTCCGTGCCGCACCGGGTGATGAGGACCGGAGCTGCGATAAACGACACAAGACGCGAGAGAGGGTATAAAGGACCCAAACGTGTTTTCCTTGCGCGGCAGCAGCATCCGCCGCGGAGTAAAATTGTATGCACGCAAAACGAACGAGCATCTAACATCAAAAAACGCAACCATTAGAAGGACGGCAATGAACGCCTAACGTCATGACGTCACGCACCACTGTAGGGGACCGCTGTAGCGATCACGACAACTGCAGCGTCAAAAGTGGAAAATCAAGAAAGCCGGTTGACAGAAGAGTACGGTTCGCCGCTTGAAATAATTGAGGACTAAGCCTTAACGACGCGCACCGTCTAGTAGAGTGAAAAGAACAACAAATGTAATAGCAGGTGTAGAAAGGAGGTCGGCAAGCAGCGACGTCAGGAAGCAACCTACTGAAATTTGAGTAAAACTAGAATATACGGACGCAACAATAACATGGAAATTGAATTCAAGCCAGACATCAAATAGTAGGTCTCTATGAAACACTGTTTGTACGCGTTCCTTGAGTTGAGCAAGATGTGGCATTGTCAGCTAGAGGTTCACTGTTTTATATGTATCTCTGGACAGTTCTGTTGTATGAGAATCAATATAGTCTCGCAGCTTAAGTGACCCATACACTGATCTCTTTGCTGGCTTGTTGCTGAAACCTTTTTTACAGTTTTTAGCTTAATCGAAATAGCGCGGACGTTACGCGTCGGGGAAAAGGGCCAGGGCGTTCGCAAATGTTACTTTGTATCCAAACATCGAATTATTTCAGTAAATCTTTCATATGGTCACAAACAGGGTACTTGTACAACCTACTTTAGGATATAGGTCACCGCGTAGCAACTCGAGCGAAATGAACGCACCGTTGTGGAGGCGAGATTTGCGAAGTACAATCCTTACATACATCTTTAGAAACCTAAATGTATGAACAGTCAAACGGTACGTTAGAGCCACTGCGCGTATATTTCAACCACCAATCTATCAATCACATGTATGTAAATATATATATATATAGAGCCGACTTTGGCTTGAAGACAGTCTTTTGGTGTGGTTTTAATAGTTTTAATTTTTGCAATAAAGCTTGTGTTCGATAAGACACCGTTTGAAATAACGGAGAACACAATGTTTGTGTATGCACTCTAATGAATATGATCAGCTACAACTTACAATTAATTAAAAAAAGAATTACGAAGACCCATATTATTTACCGGTATGCCGCGCTAGCATATGCCAATGCAAGTCTGTGTACGTATGATTCCATTCTAAAAAATATTTATATATATATATCTGTGTCAGCCCACGGAAACGGATGTACGGCTGACAGGATAAATAGTTTATTTGTGAAGAAAGTGTAAAGATGACTACGAATCATTTATTAAATATTTGACGGGAACTTATTGATTCGATAGAGTCGCTCTGTCCTAAATGGTCCTGAATGTTATCAAGAAGAAGAAGCAATAAACTTAAGTCGCCCTTTTCATTCGATTCTATATCTGATAACTTAGGAATTTATGAACGCAGCAACTTCTACCTCCGGTAGAAAAACATAACTGTACGATATTGTTAAATAATTGGGTTTTAGTTAAAGTAAGTACATGGCGAACATCCGACAGCCGGACATTATTTATGGATACAATGGATGTAGATAAAATTCAGCGGTCTGTATAGTGTCACAATGAACCGTGATCGCTCGATCTCGGCAAGAGGCTCTTTGTTAAAACCCACATGTCCTATATTCTATTCCAACGCTTCATCCGCACGCATTTTTATCTGACACGTAAAAGCTTGCTCATGTTGTTTTTAATCAGATTCTTCATTTTTCTTTTTTCTAAAGAGTTTCAGATTTACGATGCGGCATTTGTGCCTCAAATGGTATAGAAAGCTCTATTGACGTAGAGTACATGAAAGATTATCTACTAAGAATCCATGGTAGAATATTGTTTGTCACTGAGGACTGTACGTTGGATATGCAAAAATGACAGTTCGAGGGTCTGTTAAAACCGGAAGGGCATCTATTACTGGAGCGCAGGATTGTTTAATTAATTGCGTATGTTTCACGCTGATATACGTCGGCGTGATACTAACTATGTTTATAAGCCAAAACGTTCCCTATCGCATTTTCTTTTGACCATCTTTTTTATGGAGCTAGCCTTGCATATCTAAAAAAAACTTGCCTTGGCATTGGCCTAAATAGTCCCGAATCTTCTACCTGCTTGATACTTGACCTGCGGTATCGAAGAGTAAGGCTAGTCAAATTAAATCCTCTTCAATAAAGCAGCTATTTATAGTCTGTGTGAGTGTGTGTGTGTGTGTGTGTGTGTGTGTGTGTGCATTTGTAATAAGTTTATAAGAAGAAAAAATGCATATTTTTCTGTTACTGTTTTGCCCTAGTACTTAAGATTCGCTTACGCACTATGTATTTTGATGACATTACTACAATTGTTATCAAATGGACGCACTCACGGTGTATTTGTTGAAGTTCTCTAACTGTCATATCTTCACCGTTTTCACGGGCAAGCAGAAGAATTGGCCAGAACAACTACAAAAAAATCCGTTGTTGTTGTCAAATGATGAGATAAGAACTTTCGAGGCCCGAGGCGCTCGTAATGCTGCTGCTACTCGCGCAAGACCTCTGCTCCGCAAAGGCCTACATTATTATTAGCTAATACGCAATAATTTATTGGTAATAGAACCCTTCAGTGTACGTTTGGACAACTCCTCGAAACAAGCGCACAGGGTGTCGACACGTAACACTCACGTATGTTTACGCAGAAGATAAATGTATTACATTTCTTTATCGCAAGTTCCATCCAGGAACCTTTATTGGGCAAAGGTAGAAGAAGAGGACATTTAAAGCAACCTGAAATTTCCGGCAAAAATAAGAAGATCTGGTGGCAATCTGGACTTGAATCCGATGCTGGCAGCCGAATACGAATGATGCTCTTATGCTGCGGAAAAAAACATTCTACTAGATAATATTCTGTTACAATGCTTAGCATGGAAGGAATAACTGGAAAAAATATGGCTCAATGATTGTATTTCTAATTGGAATTAATGACAACCCAGCTAGTGGCAGTTTTTCGGTTATAAGTAAAAATAACCTCTTGAGAATTAGCTGTTTCCGTCAGGAAAGGCATTAAATTGTGGCTTCCATGAAAGCACAGGTTTTATTTTAGGACTCACAGGCATCCTAACGGTAATCGCCTTTGGCTAATCAATAGTCAATAGAGCTGCGATCTCATCTTTTGAATGAATCTCCGAAGTTGTAAAAAAGCTAGAACTCTTCATGATTCCTGTACCTTCAGCTAACTGGTTTAGTTACGGTGCCTAGCATTGACTAAAGTACGTATTATAGGAGCTGAATTTCAAGTGTTTCATACTCGCCTACCCTGTAGATTGCCTTCGCTGTGTAGAAGCTGCCCTCGATTTTGCCAACTCTAACCAATGGAGCCTACCTCAACGGGAGTAGTTACGTTTTTTCACCACACGTAACTCGACGTATTCTGCAGAACCGCTTATAGACATGCTTTCCTTCTTGTGTACGTTGTCAGACAAGCTCAACTATGTTTCAAATACTAAGCATACAACCAAATCATATGTGTTTCAATGTGTCGCATTAAAGATTAACGGATTTGTTGGCCTCATGTATTTTAGAATGGTCACTGAGCTTTGCTTCCTTATAAGGAAACCTAGGTACTTAAAAATATTAAAATGGATTAGGGGAGAAATCCTAGGTTTCTTAGGACGTCAAGACAAGACGAGGGCATATAAAAAGTTGTCAATCGCATATAATATTGGCATCCTAATAGTTGAATGCAAAGTAATGTATTCTTAGTAAACCTCATAATCTTACCGAGTTTCTTACTGGATTCGAGAAGCCACTTTAGTCAACCATAAAGACCTTAATTAAGAGTGAGTTCGATAGGCGTACTAGGATACATGTACAATAAAGTATGTGTCTTCTGTAGGTAAAAACGGTTGTAGAAAGGTTATGCAGACCTAAACGAGACTAACCAAAGTTTAGCGGGCTGGCCGAGAACGTTTCCTAAAAAGTTATTTGCTTCTTTCTACATGAAAAATGGCAAGGAAAATTAGCAACCGACTCTTTCTTTGCCTTTTTTGCAGCTTTGCTGCAGTATGCAACCGATCGATTATTGTTACAACTAAAATTTTGTCTATTTGTTTATCTAATCACATTGACCATGTGGGTGGGGCTCGTACCATTGAACCAACCCCCTTTGGACAGAAGTTTAATCGCCCAAACAGCTACACGGACACTGCACAGAACTTACGTACCCTAGAACCCAACTTTTCATAAAATGCTTGCGCAAACATGCAACTTGGCTTAGTCCTCTATAGGACTGTGTAACCTTCCAAAGTCCAAGTCGAGCACACGTCTTTGAAGTCGTATAACATAGAAGAAATGTATTTGGGTTTGGCAAATGTTTTTTTGTTCTGAAATTTGGTTAATTTTACATATCTGACATCCGGCACTTGGGCCATTAAGCATCACTTCAGAGAGCCGGCTCCTCAGCACGAAACGAAGCGTATGCATGCTCCGATTTAGACCGCCCGTTGTTTTTAAGTTTAACAAACAAACACGTTACCCATTGTGGTACATCACGAGGACAATATATATGAGAGATAATCGACGAAATGGAAGACATGACATGGGATTGATTAAGAAGATACTTATTTATTCGAAGCAAGATTTGTACGTTATTTGAGGAGATCAAGCCATGTTGCTTACGTGTATCCCTTTATAAATTTGTTTGTTTACTTAAACAAACATGTTTATTATACAGCACAGTAAGTACAAATTTTAATTTTGCACAACGACAAGGTGACATCTAAGGCTCGCCTACAGCAAAGGAAACTCTTGAACATGGCTAAATAAGTGCATGGCTAAATAGAGGTCGGCGATTCGAACTCGGGTTTCTGTTGAGCAGGCAATATTGAACGGAAGCTAGTAAGAAGCCAACTGGATAACTAATTGATTTCACTGGCCCGTAGAACGGTCTTCGCTGTGTGCTATTTAGAGAAAATGATGCACGGTTGAATCCTGTGCCAGATGTTTCTGATATCCGATTTTTTCTACAGGCATCTTCCCGAATAAAAGTTCGTAGCCAACCCCTGTCTGGCGATGCAGTCTAACTGTCGTGTAGCTTTCCTGAGCTCCGCATAACTTAGGCCAGCACAAAGTTGTTGTCCGAAACTTTTAGATCATCTCTGACGAATACTTGATCATTGAAGCTTTCTTTCACTGACTGAAACTATATCACGTGTGATGCGTCCCGAGCCGTGTCATTCGGTTGGTTGATCAGTTAATTTCAATTTTCGTACGCACGTTGCCGGCCAGCAAGTCTTGATCCCTTGCGTTGAATTTCCCTATTGGCGGGAAGTAATTCATATATTAACTAGTATACGGCGACACCCTGTAGCGCTCTCTATCGGTTGGTAGCGCTAGTGTACCAAAAGTTGTGAGCGACTCGCCTTTGGGGATGCATCCCCGTAGCCACGTAGGCCATCATTTCGACGCAATTGACGATACGTCATCTGTTTCAGAATTGCGGTAAACGGTCACACTGTTTGACTCGGCTGCCTGTGATGCCGATCGTATAATGGCACATCAAGAACAGAGGCGCGGGTTGCTGCAGGGGAGCCATAAACGCAGCCTTATAGCTGATGAAGATCGGATAAGTTTGTTAATGGGTCTTTTTAGCGCTTCCTGACGGTCCAGTCATTTCGAAGCGAAATGCAGAACCAATAATGGATAACAATTGATCAATACGAACGACTTTAATCAAATCTTAATTAAAGATCTGGCGTGACTCACAACGTAAATCTACCTACTATTAGTATAACGATTACTGCTCGTTCCGTTATGAGATAGCACTATACCTAGCCTTAAAATTGATGCTCTGATACTCGTCCAAGAATTAACTAAAATGCATTCCCAAAAAAGACTCCTTGTAAAGCGTGATTTTTAAAAAAACTAATTAGATTTTTAGGATAAGTACATCGCACAACGCGGCGCCCCCTTGATAATATATAGTACTGGGCAATACAACAAGAATCACGCTGCGGCGTGCAGCATTCGTTTCCCCCTAGGCTGACGATCTGTTACCCATGGTGATGGCTTAGTGGGTAGCGTATCCGTCTGCTAATCATAGGGATTGTTGTGGTCTAGATTCGAACCCACAGGGCATCAATACAGTACGTTTCGTTCTGAGGGGCAGCCAGCCATCTGTATGATGCCGGACGTACCGGACGTACACTCGAAACACAGAGATGGCCTATCAAAATAGAAATAGGATTGTTCCGATGACAAAGTAATCGATTCACAGACTCTTATTACATCGGCTTTCAAGAATATAGACTCGATCAGGCAAGAACTGGGATCGCAGGACGTTCGATACGCTAATTAGGGGTGATCTGCGAAGACTGGAACATGACTGAATAATGAACGACGAAAGTCGCCTGAAAATGAGGCGCATTATTTCGAAAATGTTTTCATCACTCTCCCGAAAAAGGATTACCGTGGCGGTAGAACGAATTGTAACAGACCGCTCCGAGTACTTTCGTCGACTCGTATTCAGATGATTTGTTTGCTTGCATGTTATCCAATTATCAGTCACAGGTGCCCGATTCAAATAATAAAAAGACTCTATTGCGTGAAGGCATGCCAGCAACTGGCCACAGAGAGATCAATGCCCCTGTCAACTAAATGGTGTCGTATAGATAGGATGTCGGTGTTCAAACGCAGCTCGTTTGCCTAGACTCAGGCACTCAAGTGCTTTTCGTACATCGTTTTTAGAAATCCGTTCAAACACAGATGTACAAACTGGTACAAGGGTCTTTGATAATCCGTTGCATAACGTTTTTATTTAATGTGCTTCTATAAATATAGACATACTAACGTACTACACGGCCTATAGTTAATGGAATGATTATTATCTGCAGCACTATAATAACCGGTATACGACGTTTCAGATTTGGGGTCTCTATGAGGTAAGTTGTTGAGCGCTTTGACAACAACGTATCTATATCCTTGAAGTTTTCCTCGTGCTGCCTTCTCTACGTATCACATTCGGTGAGAAGTTCTCTGATTTACAGCGTACATATAGGTAACAAAAGGGGAAAAGCATGAATTATTAGATGGTAAATTAATATTCTTTCCGGAATATAATTGAACCTTAAACACACATTATTATAGTGCTTTTTTCAGTTAATCGCCGTACGTTGCGGATGCATCTTTGTACAATGCAATGTTGTTGCATTTCGATATTAGTAAAAAGAATGAAATAGGACACAGGCACGAAACTACAGGTCCACGTGCTGTAATTTTTGAAAACTATACACAAAACGAAGGCTTCTATAAAGCGCTCTATATTTTTATATCTCCATATATTTATATAATACTTATAGGCTAATTTGTGTTACAAGCGAAGTTGCACTACGAAAACGATCCCCTAAACGTGATGATAAGTTTCGAAAGTATACAATGGCTATATCCATTCACGAGATGCGACTCGTTATTTTTAACTTTCTTCGCTTATCTCTTAAAATAGATGCTACTTAGTAATACGCCTGTAGAAGAAACCTATTCAGTAGCCATTTTCCTAACTGGCCAGGCCACCTTTGTTGACTTCGAAGCGATTCAGCAAAGCTGAATATTTTCATCTATGTACATGTATACATCATTGGCGTAGGTATTAACGCCGAGGAGAAGGTGTAAAGATCCTATGGCCTTGTGTGTCCTAGGCCTTGCCGGATGTAAAAAAAGCCATCTACACAACAGACGACGTCGGAAAGAAACGCTACGATCCAGATCAAAGTTGAATCGCTGCGACGCTAGGATGAACAAAACCGGAAAAAATGTATTCTTATCATTATGACGAAGAAAAATTAGAGGATGTTGCGCCAAGAGTACTGAAGGATCGCATTACGTTACGCTCGCGGCAAGTACGTGATAGAGAAGTGCAAGGAATACGGGCCGTAGAAACAAGGTCAAGCTTTACGCGACTTTTCTTTGCTAACTGCCTAGGTTAAGGATTCGTTGGTGACCTTACGATGGAGATTAAGAGGTCGCAAAAGTGATATATCGTTTGTTTAAAAACACCTATTTATTTTTTTGTGCTATAGCGTCCGATAGCGTTGAAGTGTTATTGTCGATCTGTAGCTATCTCTTGAATAAGCCCTAATTCGATAAATACACTTCCTTGCTCTTAGACGCTTACACATACTTTATTTTTAAGCTTCGTTTACATATAAACCTGGGCACACTGTTCTCAACGAAATTCAGTTTTTATAAAGGCATAGGACCAGTTGAATGGTTAATGAGAAGAAACTTGATAGGCATTTCTTCGTGGCGAGAGAACAGTGGCCCTCTTTGTCATGTAAGTTACCAGTGAGAAGTTTCTAGAACCTTAAGATTTAGCTACACTGCGTTTCAAAAATAAGGTTCGATGAGCTGACCTTCGAGTATGGGTCAAAAGAGGTGTACGGATCGAAGATTACCTTCCACGTGATAATCGAAGACCAGGCGAGGTTTGTGACTCACTGATAATAATGGTTCGTCATACCGCGACATTATCAAATGTCATTTCGTAACGCAGCATCAGCGACCCGCCAATGAGACTCACTCAATGAGATACCTCGTTTTTACTTATGAGGTGTAATCAAATAGCTAATATCCACACGCGCTTTCATATCTAGGATAGGGATCCAAGTTTTGCCTGGGCGAATGAGATGCGGAGGCCTGTTTCTGCACGCGTATGAATGTAGTGCAACTTTTTTGATGAACAAGTATCTCTCCATTAGGCCACCTATGCTAGTTTATCGCTAGCGATCGTACGTTACAGGTTTGATACTTATTTAACATAGCTATCTTCTATTCGCGCGAGAGCTGTTGCATGTACCGATATTGGTCAAAGCTGAACGATACGTTGGGTACAGATACCATCAAAGGACTCCGAAACCCTAGCTTCGCAGTTATAGACCGCCAGTAAAAAAAATCAGTAGAAAAAATTTGTGTCAAAAAAAGTTTTATTTGTTTATATTTTCGACCAAATCTTATTTGAGCTTGGTTTGCAGTTCTTCCTTAATAACCGATGAGATATGTGCTCTCCAGCTGTATTCATTCAACGTATAGTCGCGCGTATGTCCGCATACGGCAATATCTAATGCCTAGTGTTCATTTACCCTTTACATTGTTAGTTAGAAACACGAACCGCGTGTCCCGTGATACTTAACAACAACAACAACAAAACACATTATACCAAACACACATATGAATAAACAGAGATATACAAGCAAACAGTATACTTGTAACAACACTATCTACAGTATAAATATGAAGGAATAGGGCAATATGCTGACTCAGTCTGTCTAGTTTATTATTCAGGTCATCCTGATTATTGTCACTAGTCATGCTGTATCCTATCTGATTTTTGAGGGCAAACTTATAATATAAAAAAGAACTTCTCATATGTTACCGTAAAGGCGATGTGTTACACAGTTGCTCACCAGAAATAGGTAAAAAGACCCTGAAGGATGAAGGCAAAGCAGGATGCTGTTCTGTCACCCATTATTTTTTTTTTATTTATATATGAATCAATTGGCGCTATGACTAGAATATCGATCAGGGTGGTTACTGCTCAGCCCAGGCACGAATGTTACTTCTATCAATCTCGGTACACGCCGTCGTCGGATTGTTCCTGCGATCAATGAATACATAACAATATTGTAATGAACTATTTGTCGTATTGGTCGTGGGTCTGAGTCATTACCATTAAATATAATATATGCTATTAAATTTCCGACTGCGTCCACGATGATTCGAACGCACTCGGAAGCTTAAACGTTATAGCCCACATCGTAATTATTAATTAAACTCCAATACTAGTGAAAGGTTAGATTAGCGATAATATAAAGACTGCTACTCCAGACGGTTTCTGCTCTACTTACAACGATTCATGGCGAAATACGTTGGGCGGCAACTCTTGGATGCCGTCCGAGTTGTCACAGATAATCTTAGCCAACGAGATCTTGCGAATCTCCTGAAGCTGTTGAGGCGTAAATGATCCAGCCTGGTTACCGTGTTCGTAATAGAATCTGTCGCCAAATTTAGCTCGCATGAACTGATTCGCTTGAATACAGGCGAAGGTCGGACCGAGGACACCGCCTTCGACCGAAAACTCGGATACACCAGCAGGAAAAAGGTCGACATCTTCGACACGTGCGTACGCTTGCGAGATTTGTTGGACCGCATCTTGTGGCATCAGATACAGCAAGTCATGCCATGTACGAATTTCCTGTAGGTAAAGATGTCCATTGGGTTAACGTTACGATTAACTAGCCAGAGTAAGCTGCGTAGTTTTAAAATTATACATACTGTCCCATGCATCGGCCGCCGTATTGCGAATTAAGTTCAAGTTACAAACCCTGCCGGTGCAGTAGCGTACATAATCGACGTATGGCCGAATGCCGTGGTCGCGGCCTCGTTGAATATTCATTGCAATAAGGTCAAGACCGTAAGAATCATTTCGTAGCCGATACAAATGGTTCGTGACATCGTCGGTGACGAAACGATCGAACTGCTGTCCTGGCTGTCGGAACAATCCTCGGAGCACAGGATCAAGTTGACCCCTGACACACCAATGGGTATGAAAAAGGTCATCGTTACTTTGTAAACTGTATAATTGTCCGTTCTCGCCAATGTTCGCAGCATACATATGATAATACAGCCGTAGCCGACAAGAATATTTGATGATTTCAATATTTCAACCAAACACGCTACTTCTTCTTTAGTGTGGGGAAACAAATATACATAGATAGAAATATTCTCTTCTCACTATTATCCTGCCTATTACTATAGTTAATAGAAATATCACCTTCTATTCTCAATAGGTAATAATATTATTATAAATGCGTATTATACTTCTTGTGTTAAATATGGCACGTATTTTTTTCTGTTCAAAAGCAAATACTGAGACGCTTGGAATCTAGGCATATTTTTACAATAAAATTTCTGCTCCGACTTTTTGGAGACACCTTCTTCTGTCTGTACTAACTCTGTCCAGTCTGTATGTAAGAACAAAGGGAGCTCGTCGTTTCACCCATACGTACTCGTAGAACGGGAAAGGGAAGAAAAAGAAGTCCTGAAGCTGAATGGCTCCGACGCGTCCCTGGTTGTTTATCAGGTGGAAGGTACCGTCAATAAGGCTGTGACCGAAGCGGAAGGCGGCCGCAGCAAATTCGTTGATAATCGTAGCGTCGACGGTAGGGTCGTAGTTCGTGTAACCCTGTGACTGAGTCTGGATATTGAATGATCGAAGGAACTGAGGTCCTATCGGAGAAAAAGCTAGACTTTGTCAATTTACATCCTATACGACGTATTTTATTGGCTAGTGCGTTGTCATTTAACCTAATATTACATGTAGCTGTCCTGATACATCTTACTACATCTTACAATACATCTTAATTTCACTAAGCCTAATTTTTCAGACTCGAAAACTGACATCAAATACCCACTTGCAGTTTGTTCTATGTTTTAAGATGATTTATGAGAAAAAAGTTTACGCTAAACTATCAAGTGAACATAAACAAGCAAATAAAAGCTATTTTTCTGTCTTATATATATATATATATATTTATATTATCCAGAAAGAGTCCTACAAACTATGACAAACGGTTAAGACACGTCAACTGCAAAAAAAATCGGCGTTTAAAACGTGGTTTACCCGATCTGTCAAGCTTGGCGATAACAATGGCGACATTGAACATCGATTTTAAAAAGTCTCTTTCTGATCAGTATACTGGGCTTAAACGAGCGATTATCAAAACCGCCTATAGATACGTCTATACTGTACTGTAATTGTAAATAAGCTTACAATCCTGATGTTCTGTTCGGTTAATAGACAGCTTGTAGCACACTTACCCAGCACGATGGGTAGCCATTCGTGATAGACAATATGTTGCCATTGGGCAGTAATAATCCTCCGAGCTTCCTGGAATAGACGCTCGTCGTCCCAATGTGGATTCACTTCGTTAAGTTTCTGGGCGACGAGATTGTGCTGGCGTAGCCAAATGAGGTGCAGTGCCGTAAGGCCGGGTTGCTCATTGACTCTCTCGTCCCCGGCTCGGAAGCAGAACTGTCCTGCCGATGGAATCGAACAACGGTCGTCATCGGGATGAAACGAGCGTGGCAGCATTTGACGGTTATTGACAACCTGTGACAATGGTGACGACAGCATTTGTAAATTAGTATTTAATCCTCGGTTCTGTAGGCCACATCTACGCTCGGCGAACGGTGTGCAAATTGTGCACACCTATCATATCACAGTACACATATCTAGTAACCTTTATTAGATACAGTGTAATGTCATAGCTAGTCTCACCTGGTATTTAAGGAGGCCTTTGACCTTAGCACGGAGGCGATTATTGTCGTCATCCGAACTACCGTAAATTTGGGAAGCATCAATGTAGGACGTAAGAGCATCCTGCTGTTCACGATGGCCAAGTTTACAGGTAGAACAGGGTGCACTACGAGGCATATTGTTACACGTTCGACCGGTGGCGCCGAAGAATGCATCGTTCTGGGGAATCTCGAACGAGAAGCACTCCTCTCCATTACGACGGTCTTCGCTGCAGCAGTCGATCGGGTTGTTGGGATCTGGGAAGATGCGTCGAACCAAACAAATAGGAGCAGAAGCTGAGAATCAACGCGATTGTATTAATGGAATATAAACATGTACTCTAGTACTCATGGCAGTTATGAACCTATGTCTTTTCAGGAAACATTTAAGTCATTTTTTAAATATTTGGTGAGTTAAATACTTGTGTGAAGACGTGACGTAAGAAACAAGCTTAGGAGTGAACGAGTCAACCAACTGTGGGTAAATAAATACAGCATGTATAACGAAAACAAAATAGATGATAAATCCGACGTACTTCCGAGGTTGATAATCTCTCCCGGATCTTCTTCCATTGGTGCGAGCGCTGTGTCATGATCGATGAACTGTCCAACCTGCATCAACATGTGCGTATAGCCGGGCGATGATACATTACGCTGCATATTAACGAGCCGTGATATGACACGAGCATTTGGCAGACGTGAATTATACCGTCCACCGCGAGGCTCATCGATGCCATTCTCATAAGCCGGCGGTAAAAGTCGTGTCATGCAGAAGTTAGAACGACCCCAGTGGGGATTTCGCAGGTTATTACATCGGCCATCGCCAGTTCGCCACGGGAGGCGGGGATTGCACTGAGTACGTCGGCGCCCCCGACACCGTTGAGTAACCTGGGATAGCGCGGTGTTATCCAAGTTGATGGCGTTGAATTGTATGATCTCGTCATAAGTGGCCCGTTGTGCCACGGCGGCGCTTAAAGGCGCGTCCCTGATCACAATGCTGTGTTTACTAGTACTTCAGGATTAACGATGACGATTGGAGACGCAGGACAAAAAAATAGATAGACGGACCGGAAGAACCCGAAGCAAGCGATAGGATATGCCACCAACAATTATCATTAAGATAGGACCCGGAAAATGAAGCTAAGCATGCATGTAATATGTGGACTATTGAAGAAAATATATTTTTCAGTCTAGCAAATAATCTCAGATCGAATTCAGTATCGCTGAAACCTTATGAAATTTTGTAAGTACCAGCTGATTCCGTCACAAATAGGGTGTTTAAAAATTTCTGACATCTCTATCCAGATAAAACATATCCCTATATAAATCGTTCACGGGAAGCACACGAAGCACTGTGTCTGAGTAGAGACACTGAAATGATCTCTGATTGCATTATACTTACCACTTAAATGGTTGGTCTTTTTACACGGAAGTGATGAAAAAAGATAGAAGACAACGAAGAAGCGAAACATTGAAGGGTGAAACGTTCAGATGAACAAATATTGGTTTAAAAAACGTACAAGCCGATTTTATTGGTTTAGTTATTGTCAGTAGTTAAAGTAGTTAAGTTACGTAGTTGCTCCTATTGCTCCACGTGTCGTGGCCATCGAATACTGGGGTGCGGGTGGAGTTCATATCATGCGAACGATGGTTAACGATTAACAGAGCAACGCATAGTAGCAAAACGAAACACCACCTACAACTTTTTCTTATGATCTTTATGACGTCTCAGTCAGATCTTCCACCTCGGCAGGGGTGGCATTACGCGTGTTTTTAATGATCAATCTAAAATCATCTCACCGAAAGGCAAGTGCTTTTGTTGCCTCTTCGAAGATACGGGCATTATCCGCAATTTCTCTAGACTGGCGCGTCGATGGGCGAGATTGAAAGTGCTGACCGTTGGCAAAGGGGCATTTCAGAGACGTCGCAAGGCACTCTGGAAATTTGGGCATAATTGTTAATTAAGCAGTTGTTCTGCAGGTTCATGATCTGCAGGCGTACTGATTTGGCTTGTAAATTTTGTCTGACATGATAACGTTTGGAACTCTATTCAAGTTCTATTTACAAACACAACATTTCGTAGCAATGGTTCTGGTTTAGCTCGGTGTTCATACCGGGAAAAGTCGACCGTCCATTGGTATTCTAAGATTATAATTTGTTATATATAATAAAGAACATAAGGCAATGATCGTTTACCCTCATTTGTGGAATACCGTACCCACTCAACTAAGTTACTACCGAATCTTCTCGAAACTACCTATGTTATAGTTAGCTTGGCTTAATCTAACTCTGCAGTTATTCTATAGAGAAATTCATAGTGAGTTGAATTTATCGAATAGCGACAATGGATATAAGTAGCGATTCCGTTAATAATTGTTCCATCACCCTACCTACTACCCAGTATCAAAATGGTGAACATGTATCGTTTCTACCTAAAACCGTGAATCTACTATCTTCCCATATTGTTTACTAATCTACCGGTAAAAATATTCGAATGTTTATCGCCGTCAAAATATTTTTTTTTGATTTCGTTTTAATATTTTATTTTCAAAATATAATTTATGCTGTGCTGTGGTGTTTTCTAAAATAAAAAGCATTCAACATGTGCTTCTACAAGGGCCGAAGTTTTAATACGCACCGCCGGAATTTCGTTACATTCAAAGTTCAACTTTATCAGGCCAAATTTGAACTTGCCATCGTTTCGAAACATCGTGCGCCCGTTAAAAGCCCAAATAGTTCCATTGGAGAACCGTCTAACGTTAGCATATTTCAGTGTTCTAACGACATTTCTATTCGTATAAATGATTACACCAAGGGCAAAATACAAAATGCTGGACATGCTGCTTTTTTTTTTGAAACCGTATGGAGGTGTTATTGATCTAAAAGACCTTCAACGCTTAGAACGTATCCAATTTGAAAGCTTTGCTATAATAACCTACTGTATCGTGTATTTTTTTCCTGTTGTATCTTTTCCGGATAAAGATAATTCAAGCATTACGTAAACGGAAATATCACTGTGTCTCGGTCGGTAGCCACGTTGGGCCATAATATCACCTATACCAGACTGAATTGATCTGAATCTAACAAAACAACAGTATTAAAGTATATTATAATAAACAGGGGAATGAATTGAGGCCAAAGTAGGTCGCATACGGTGGACAAGCGTCTCCATCTGTTGCCCATTGCCGACACGTTCGACTACCACGAACCAAAGAGTCTGAGCGCGAGGTCGCACCTCTGATCACTGCACAGTTATTTACCTGGCTGGTGACGATCTGAATAGACACAATTAAAGAAGCCCCTGTCTTTATAATATGAAGAAGTTCAGCTAAACAGAGGACGTCACTAAAGTTGGCACTATACTACACACCTGTAAATTTCACATAGAAATCACTCTAATATTTGAAATTTTGGCTATATCGTTTGAGTCCGAGCAAGACTCCGAAAATAATTTATCTAATTAAACGCGTATTGCAAGTCAATCGGTTATTCGAAATCGGCAGTTTTTTATTTTTCTCATTTTTAAATTTAATCTTTTTTTTTTTTTTAGCAGCTCAGCTTAGCTTGACGATGGACGATGAACGAGATGATTAATGGAAAATTTTTTTCTATTATTCTATGTGTTGGCAAGATAAGACATCTTTGTATGTTTAATTAAAACTTATTGCTTCTGGAACCTATGTTTTATAGAGAATTGTATCTGATTACACGAAACGCGTTGGAATAGAAAAACAATTGTACCTGTAGGGTTTTTTTTTATGAATGTCTATATTGATAGGGCGTCGTTAAAAAGTATTACGTCCTATCTGCACTCAGACATAATTGAGGGCATTACGTAAAATTTGCCCTATGAATCGCAAGTAGTGTAAGGCAATGAGAAATGATTGAATCCAAGTTTGAAATTTGTCCGAGGCATAACCAAGTCCACATAATGCGCTATTCGTAGGTTGTAGCATAGAAGGTCCTTGCTAACTGTTCCATATTGTAACTTAAATTACAATAATAGCTGAACAAGTCACCATCGTCATCATTTCATAGTATGGGTGGAATAAAGTAAGTTATTTCGGTAAAACCAATACTATTAGTACGTACTAGTTGCTACAATATCTGAAATATACCGTTTGTGGATAAGATCACTGATCGTGTGATTGCTACGTTCATTCTCCCCATGAAGACGTGTACTTATAGTATAGCCGTATAGTATTGGCCGATTGGTACGCTTTTGCTCCAAATTCATCAATCGTCCTGTTTTCACTGATTTTATCTTATCGCTAGTCTCTATGGGGGACTAGATGAGAGAAACAATGCAACCGTAAGTTATAGGCCGGTCTACACTCCGATTATTACGAGTAAAACGCGTAACGTTCTGGAAAATAATCGGACTCTTCGGAACAGCCCGCAGAAGGAAGCTACTCCGATGACAACGGAGCTTAGCACATCCGCCCGAGCAAGGCAAAGCCGTCAACATCACCGTAGGCAGCGGCAACGATGCAGCCTCCCCCTGTCGTCGCTGACAATGCGTGGCGTTGTCAATGGGCTGCTCTGTGACGTCGCTTACAATGTCTGGGAGTAGCGAACCACTGCACTGGCGTATAGAGAAGGGTAATGCAAAGTTACACAGAGTTCTATACCGAGTGCGAAACGACGAGATAGAGGCTGTTCAGAATGGTGAAGCTAAGCAACTCTAGCATACATTTTCGGCCGGTATCTATCTATCTATCTATCTTTGTAGAAGAAGGGAAATTGTCTCAAGAAGCAAAGAAGGATTAAGAGGGAAAGATGTCGTCATCGTCGACGATGAAAGTAGTCTAAAAAATACGTGAGCTTGCTACTGTCGCTGGTGCTGCGCTGCCTTCTTCTGTGCAACTACCCTAAGCGATGAGAGCAGCATTTCACTGCAAGCGCTCATCAACAGTCACTCACTGTCGACTGCTAAAGAAACAACGAGAAGTGAAAAGCGGAATTGTGAGACGGCAGTTGTCAGACGATTCTCGGGCGAAGAGTGATGATCATGAAGAAGGTCCTTGCCCTCGGTTGTACTTTCGCGGCTATGGACGGGGTAAGACCGAGCAAAAAACGTCATATTTGAGATATATGATCTGGCCTCCTTCTGAATCTGCCTCTCTCAGCGACGACCTGCCACCCTGGCCAGTTCCTGCTGTCCTTCTAGTAGCAGTTGGCCCACGCTCAGCAATGTAGCCAGTCCGTTATGGACGTCGGTTGCTTTGCGACCACAACTGCCTTGACGTCTCGACCCTCGACTCAAAGTAGTCAATCTGTATAAGACATCCGAGTCTGTATATACGAATCTTACCCTGTGTGTATGTGTGACTCTTTTCCGTTCCCAAAGACACATCTCTGGGCGGCGAAAGAAAGCAAAAGTTGAAAGCCACAACTCGCTTCGATGCCAACCCCACGCTACTGCTGGTGCTAGGAGCGATGGCGTTGGGAGCGGCTGCGGCAGCAGAGGTTTCCTGTTATGACCAAGGCAGTTTCCACTGCCTTACCGCTAGCTGCCATCGCCGCCGCTTCTGCAAATGCCGTCCTCCACTACTCGCTGCATTGCTGTCTCTCACGTCTTCCCCACTACTTGGGAGACGGATGGGACTCCTGCGGCGCGTCTGGCTAGCGGCCAAGTCGCCAACGAGAACCTTCGCTTCGCGCACCCGTCGTCGCCATCGCTGTCGTGTCTGCGAAGTCCCTGATGAGAGTTAGCAAGACGGCCCGCCCTACAGACCTGTCGCCCAACGGGAAACCGGCTTGCTGCTGTCGGGTTTCCTCACGCTCTTCAACATCATCCCTGCTGCGACTCACTGGCGGAGTCGTTGTCGTTGTTGCTGCTACTGTCAGATAACAACGGCAGCAGCAGCATCTACGCTCGCTACTCTGTCGACTTACGCTCTGCACCACGAACTCTGTTTTGGACTGTAATGTTGAGAAACCGGCCGACCAGCCGCCCGCTCTCCCATCCTGGCCTTCGGCTTGACTAGGAAGAAAAAGAGGAACATGCAAGTAAAAGAACTGGGAAGACAAAGTTCGCTATGAACCAGTGCACAATTGCCTGCCCTGTCTACAGCCACCCTATTCCCTCTGTTTCATACTAACAGAATCATCTTCAATTGCTGCCTGCAGATTCGGCTGTTCCACTCACTGGCAGACCGAAGCAGTAGCTAAAAATGCAAGGGCGGCAAGGAGACGCAGCAACGACTCGTAAATCGTGCAGACAACAGCATTACAGACTGCCTGTACAGACAGGAGCTGTGGGGAGCCAAACCGGTGCCCACTTCGAGAACGGCAGTGGTCAAAAGCCCATGGCTGGCAGTTGCAACAGCAGCAGCAGCAGCAGTAGTAACGGGCAACCTCTACAGAGTCAACTTTTGTGTGGAGGAGAAAGAGATCACTTTGGTAGATAGTTGCTTACCGCTGGCGAAGATAACAAGCAGCGAAACGATCCCTCGTCAACGATCTGAAGAAACATACTCTTGCGACCCTTTAGCTGGAGCACGATAAGGACGGGACCGACTTTGGATTTGAGGTCACTTACTACTACACGCAGCTTTCCCTACGCTTACCTATTTATTTACCTAGTGATGGATAAAAGAAGAGAATCAACAACGATGGTTCTTATGCGCTGTATAGAAGGGGGCAAGCAAACACACAAACGAGCTTCATGGCCAAGGAGCGTGCGAAAGGTGTCAGACCGTTAAATGTTTACTGCGTTCGAATTGGGCAGCTATCTGATTTCTAGCAAAACTATAGTCCGAGCGCATACAACCTACGCACGAGATAGTAGTCGATGTGACTAGCGTGCCGATCGGGCTCCGAGTGCAGAATGAGATAACATGCAAAGCTTCGTCCGTACGCAGACCTGATTATAATTACTATAGGAGCATAGTTAGTGCCAACTCTTTCAGTAGGAGTAATGCAACTTCAGCATCGGGTCCACGGCGATATTAGACCTTTTAGAATTGTCAATGCTGCGTCGGCTGGTTAAAGTGAGGCCAAAGCAGCCTTCATTTTGACGATAGGAAACTTACAACCGCAGACAATAGAAGTGTTTCTACTGTGAGGCGAACGTACAAAAGTAGACGTGAACACAATGATTTAGGGGCAACTAAGATACCTATAATGTAATAATCCCTTAGTACGTTCTCTCTCCAATATTTGAGCCACAGTTTCGGGGCTATCTGACAAAGATATGAAAACAATTAACGAGCCTGAAGCCATTTGCTAATATTTACTCTAGATTTTTTTCGAAACGATTTCGGTAAACGGATATGAACTCAGATCTTTGTCATATGTAAACTTGTTTTTCTTGGATATGGTCATACGTTACGGAATACGCGTACTCTTATATTTCGGCAGCGTCATCGACCAATATTGGTAGAGGTGCCCCACTCTATGAGAGGGGGGGGGGGGGCAATTTTGAATGTAAAGAGAACACTTACTTCCGATACTTCGAGCGGCGAAGCCCCTGACCTCTTCCTTCCTTTTGTTAATTTTCTCTATAGCCGAATTGAAGGCGGCATCGATTATATTTGTGTCGAACTCGGCCCACGTTGAGAGGACTGCTCCTCCTAGTATGAAGGCCGCAAACACAAGAGATTTCCTGTTCAAGTGAAATGACAAAAACAAAAAACAAGCACAAAATCAAGTGAGCATTGTTGCCAACAGCTAAGTCGAAAAGAAAAAATACTAACGATGAAAATGCAGAAGACAAATAGGATCTAGCAAATATCATAGATAGGGTACGCAGAAATGATTCTCGGTCTTTTCGCCCTTTGCTTACTGCACACTAGTATTATCAGAAAAAAATTGCGGGTTATAGTTTTCCTGTCGGAGTTGGATAACAGTAAGAGCGGATTAGTTATTGAGGATAACGCTATATTGATCGCATATGCATAGAAACCTTATTATAATTTTCACAGGGAATTACTGCTTCGGTACTGGATAGCGAGCTCGCTCCGCCATTGTATAGGGCGACAAGTATTGAGTCTGATCAGGCTCGATTCGACCTAGACAGATGTAAATTGTTTGCTCCGGCAACAGTGAAACTGTGGTATCCGCTGATTCTCAGTGATTGCTGTACTTTGTATTACACAACACGGTCGCTAAGATAGTTCTGTGATTGCCCAGTCACTGTGGACTTTGAGTGATCTTGAGAAACGTTTCCAGTACATTGTGTCAACTGTGTAAGGGTGTTTAGTTGAGGCTCACGTTTTTTTTTTTAATATTACGATAAGTAATATTCTATATGACGGTTCATGTCACATAATCACGAATCAGACCCTGTGGCAGAACTACTGAATAGAAAAGTGAACAAATGATTATTCCATTTGTTATGTTGAGGAGTAATAACATATGGTAACAAAGTAAAAGCCAATTCTAGCAAACTGATGTGTCATCAGTTATGGCACACAGTTGTGATCACAATTATTCTGTGTATAAGTTACGGAAGAAAAACACTATATATATATATATATATAAAGATAACATAAAACCGACCGTATGTGTATATATATACGGTCAGTTCTTTATTATCTTATTTAGCAGAAGGCGGCAGATTTGCTCAATGCTGCGAGACATTTGCGAGCATTTGACGTAGCTATTTGCGTCGACTGTTGACCGTATGTATTTCCCGGGTGTGAAAGCGACATGTATAAAAAGTTGGAGACGGAACTTATTGGCTTGCGCCCGTGTTCGTTCGTCTCTTCAGACTGGTTGAAAGTTACGTCAGTCTAATATTTTCCAACGCCAATGGTAGCCAGACACCTCGTTGTCGGTAATTGTCTAGAATTCTATAGTTTTCTTCAACGGACAGTTTCGTCAAGCAACGAATCATCTAGCTGGCCCAACAAAGTCACTATAGGGAAGACGTGATAGCCAGGGTCAGGTAGAATATAGCTGTCGGTGTCCTGGTCTCGTTTATTTGGTACACATACCATACAGGGACTGTGCCAGGACGCACTGGATATTAACCAATGAGTTTGTTATATTACTGTGTTTTTTCTGGGGAGGTCTGCTATGACGTCCTGTTACTGCCCGACGAACATACAGCTATCCATGCTGGACCACACCACATGCACACAGATTACATTACAGTACGCTAGATAATTTCGAAAAGATGGGGAGCAGTAAACGCTAAAATCGATCTAGTTTGCGTTAGTGAAGAACGAGCTGCTTGACGTTCGAGGATCAATCAGACAGTGCACAGCAGTCAAGCTAAACGACGCTGAAAAGTACATTAGAAAACAGGGAACGCGCTCTATTTCGTATATAAGCTACGATACAATTGATATTATTTACAGATAGAGGGCGCTGGTAGAAACATGAGTAGCGAGTAGGTAAGAAAAATCTATATGATCCTGCATAACTTCAAGGAGTTTTATGACACAATGGGCAACGGGGCGGCCCGAGTGAGAAAATGAAAAATCGGTTACTGTTTTTTTTTTAGTTAATTATGTTTTTAGTTTTTTAGGTAATTAAAGATAATGTTCGAAAACGAAGTTACAAATGACAAGCAGGAATTGTATCATAGGGTATGCGTAAAATCTATGCATGGCTTATCGTCTATGTTCAAAAAAAAAAAAGCCTAACAACGAATGCTTAGGCTATATTAGTTACTATGCCTAATCTTTTTCTACGATTCATAAAATTATTGAATTAACTGATAAATTATTGAACATAATGAAGATCATCGTGCTTTAAATAGGCATGGATAAATAGGAAAACTAATACAGGCAGCTTATATTGGTAAGTGGCTGGATTGGATAGTGAGCTACCGGCAAGTTTCTTGAATTCGGGCAATTTTCTACTTCTGTAACAGGAACTAATAACTTTTCACAGTCACACAAATTGATGCTTCCAAGTTACATGCTGACGTGCATTGGCCCCCTGATTTGAACAGTCGTGGAAACAAGTTGCTACCGAGCTTCATCTTACTTTTATCGACAGCAGCTAGCTTAATATATGTGTATAGATACGTCAATCTGAACTAGCTGAAGATTAAGAATACTTCTAATATTATTACTAATATATTATTAAGTCTAGCACTTGAACAATAGGCTAGTTACCGGCACTTAATTTTTGTTAGAAACGTCCTTGTCACAGTACACTTGAGCCATTTTCCGGAACCACTTACCGCATACAATTTTATACACGAAAAACGCTTTCCACCTAAGATCAAATATATCAATTATTCTGCACTTTGACTAAAGTCCATATCATCCCTTCCTGCTATCTAGTTATAGCGATTTAGATATAGAGAATATATAGAAATAGAGCGTAACGGCAGCATGAATCCTCGCAGATTCCGTTGCTCGTCGGGTGACAAGGCGGGGAAGCGCAAAAATCTATTGAACACTTTCTATTGACGAATGAAAGAGACAATCGTGAGTTTCTGTTAAGGTCTCTATAGATGCAATCGATTCGGTCATCGCGTCTGTCTTCTGTACTGGCACGTCTAAACAAACTAACTTTTGACGCTTTATTTTACCTGTGTGTTCGTACGACAGGGAGATGTACACTTACGCCAATGCGCGCGTCATGATGGCCGTGTCGCCAATAAACGCAATGATGATGACGACGACGACGACGACGACGACTCCGAACCGTGTAAATCGCTGTCTTGTACTGTCGATGGTGATGATTTTAGTTTTCCTTATACACTTGTTTCCTTTGGCATCGAAGAAACAGCAGTGGTATCCACGGTCGCGCAACTGGGCGCGTTAGTGTCTGTCACTACAGACGAATGGTTTCTACGACGTAACCACGATCCGGTAATGCAGTAGTCGTCAGTTGAAATGCGCGCGATAGGGTAGTACATCTTTTATTCTCGTCTAGAACACCATCAATCACAGGAGCAGAAAGTGATGGAGCAAAAGGCGAGGGCTCGCACATGTGGGGGCCGGGTGAGCGTAGTAGCGAGCGAGCGAGCGAGCGAGCGAGCGATCGAGTTCCAAGAAACAAGCAAGCGGTCAGCGTATCATACGAAACCGAAACTGTTACCTAAATTGGAGCTACTTTATAATATCGTATCTGGCTGCTGTTAGATACAGCCGCTGGCCGCCGCCGCCGCCGGGCAGTAAACGGCGGATACTAAGTGCTACCTTATTTTTTTGCGCGCAGGTCGTCCACGCATATACCGGACAGCAATTGCAACACTAAATTATCCAAAATGTTCGGCAGCGGGAAGGCAAGGGCAACGGGCAAAGGGATAACGGAAATCATCAGTTAATGGTGGAAGCTGTCACTAACACCGACAGTAAAACGGACTATTGCAAAGGACTGTTTTTTTTTTTGGAATACTGTTGCTTCTACTTGTACCGCGTTTGTAGTCACATGTGAGCATCTTCGGCCTTTTCTCTGTGGAAGCAGGCCAAAATAAAGTACTTTTATCACGACTTTATTTTATCATAAGGCAATGATTGTTTATGACTAGCGCATCGATGCTAGTTTCCGCCGAAGTTTCCGACACGGCTTTGGATGAAGCGATCCGTTTCACCGTTCGATCACGCTGCGACTATTGTCTACTTACAGGTATAAAAACTGCATGGAAGCATTGTTAAAACTATTAACTGCAGCTATAAATTGTAGCATTTGCCCCTGCCGTCCTAATTGTATGACTAGTAGTGTGACATTGTGTTCCTGATAGGTTTGTCACATATGTTTAAAGCTTACGTTATTCATTAACTAAAATAATTCGTGTCGGCCGTGAATTTTGAACAGTTTGGTCAGAAACAGAGAGTTCTGTGACCCTTAAAGCTAACCAGGACACAATTGCGAGCAGTTATTAAATAGTGCTTGTTTGAAGACATATCACATACTGAACCTTGTTAAGGTTTGAGAAGCTGACCTTGTTCCCTAGTGTGGCGTGCGTGAAACACCGAACATCTAAGGGCATCACGGACCTTTTATAGCTCTCTCTAAAAGTGCTAAACACATTTGATTCCATTAGGGAACCTCACGGAAGACAAAATTCGGTATACTATTTAATAGGCTAGATTCTCGTTTACTATCGAAATTAACCAGGACACAGAGCTTTTTCTATTCGATATTTATTATGTTTTATAATTATCTGTGCATAGAGAGTGCTTCGGTTTCTGCCTTAGTGAGCAAGATATAACATGCACTAATTGATTCTACTGGTATAACTTAAAGGTGGATATGTTTATTTTAATTACAGTTGTCGTTTCTTATCGATATTTGGCTTATTACTACGAAAATTAGAGAAGTTACTTCGATACGACCGAAACAAGCGATGAGCACCACCAACCAGATGAATCTTGAATTGAGTTTAAAGATGCCGTTGCATTGAATTTGTCTCAACTTACCGATATTTTATGCTTGAGTGCCAATACTCTCCCTGGTCGTAATGTATACAAACTATACCATTATTGGCCATCACGCGTCCAACGGATAACCTAGAGTTTCATTCAGGTGTAAGACTACGCGTCGCACAAAAGCTGTTCTGTCGTGGACATTAGTAGTAAAGTGTCGCAGAATTAGAAAAGATCGTAAGTCTTTGTCGTAATTGAAAGTTACACGTTTGAGAAGAAAAAAAACCTGCAATATGCACAAACATATTAAGCAGCGCCGCCGTTCATGCAACGGTACCCAAAACGTGTTTGTGGCACCCTAGGTTAGGTAGGCATTCAATGTGTTGTCTAGACGCGAACGGACCTCTAAAGGCGACGCTGCATCATGAACGGATTGCAGTACTCACGGAATAGAGCGAAGGAAGTAACAAAAGCTTACCTTTGATGAACACGTACCCATGCACTCCAAAGGCAATAATCGTGTCAAACCAAGTTCGATCGATCTTGGTTCGCTGTATTTTTCAAACAATTTGACATATTCAGCCTTAACCAGCCATATTCAGCATTTGTATAATTTTTTTCAACACATTTTTAATTATAAATTTATTAAAAATTAAGCTAAAGGTTAAAAAATTTAGATGATCATAATAGAGAGAATGACTCAACTCAGTAAAATAGTCGATGTGTGATAAATGTTTGTTGATATAAACACAATAGAACTACTTACTAAACGTTTTCTTCGTATTCGGTACATTGCCTTTAGCCCCGTTTGAGCGTATTGCCTGAAAGGATATCTTTTGTTAGGGTAGCACTAAAAACAGAATTACGTTATTACTGGAGGGCATAGCGGCAGGATTGTGTATACATGATATATTCAAGTGTGGAGATATTGCGCTAAAAAATACTGAAAAAGCTTTATGTGAAGAGCAGAAATACGTGAGAGGCATGTAAGGTTCCCAAAGCAGACTTGATTAAATGAGCATATATTCGTTCAAGATGAGGAAATATGGAGTTTGTACAGTATACGACTGTCTGGGATGCTGTGTCAACGGTCGAAAATAGGGACCGCTAATTATTTTGTTGTAACGTTTAGGCGGAGATGAACAAACCGACAGAGTTGCGCACGCCTTTTAACTGCAAAAATGTATGTATTTGTCCATATATCGAATTATCGTATCGATGAGACTGTATAGCCGAAATATAATATTCTAGCTTTGGCGAGAAGCTTTAATAATATACGATCTCTTCTACAGCGCTCTTCATAGCTTATTTGTACATATTGTTAGGTCTAATAACATATCAGTACGGTAGGTTAGGTTAGTTACATTGTCTTAATTTAAAAATAGATATTTTCTATTTGATACGAAACGTGTGTGAATATGTATGTATATAGATATTGATCATCTTGAACCAACGACTCCAGCGTTCTTAAGCGAGTACCAAATACTTTAAAGCAGCCATCTAAATCGGATTCATGTTTTACCCAGATACTTGTGTGATAATATCAGGGTAAATTAATCGAATTTCTGGTGTAAGCTGGCATACGGATTCGGTATGGCGGGGACCCAATCCATCTAACTCGCTGAGCTAATCCTACTCCCGCTAGTAGCTTCCTTAGATGCACGTCTCGCCACCTTTTGAGTCTATTCTTAGGGCAACATCACCTCGAAAGGACTTGTGCTAGTTTTTTACCAGAGGTAATGAGAGATGTTACGTTGCCACTGAACAATATATAACGGCTCAGCGGTCACCTTCAGTTAGATCGGCCTGACGGATATTCTGCTGCTTACGAAACATTGTCTTTGAAGTCAACGACTCTTTTTAACACCGGCCAGCTGTGCTTGCTCCTTTGAAATGTTTAGGATCTTGAGAAGAAAAGCTAGTCGATACTGGCTTCATTAAACATCCATTGGCGATGTCGACTGTCATATGTATGCAAGCATTTTTAGCAGAAGATAAAAAGGTCATTAACCAATTACTTTCGGACCAATAAAATAGATCTTCACCTATGTAGATTTTATTTCAATTTTTCCAAAACAGAAGAGGCAATAACACTTGAAATTTGGAACCATCATTTCTTTTCCTGAATTTCTACCTAACGACATTTGGAGTCTTCTATCCGCCGCTTCCAAACAGAACTCGAGTACATGAACATATAAAAGATATAGGTAACGAAATCCTGGAGTACAGATGACCGTGGTGTCTCTTCGATATACATCAAATGTTGAGCAGCTGAGTACGACGGTATATTAACGAGGTACTACTTAACACTTTATAGTCTTATTCTACGCCAATATGCCAGGGGCAAAAAAGATCGGATAAGTAAAAAAAAAAACAGGCGACTCGACATCAAGTTGAGTATCGAGCTCGCGCTTCACCGCGCGTTCCTCTGCCGACACAACCTTCAGTTTAATATGAGCCCATTTTTTCTGGATGAGGTAGTATAGGATTACATTTACTATAAGTTTAAATTCGGCCATTTAGCCAACGTTATGGAAATAACCTTCACAAGCACTACATTCTAGTTAAAGCAAAATCACTTATTTCTTTTTTTCATCACGCTGGACATGAAGCAGCGGGGTTTGACCTAGCGAGGTAGACCAGTGGTTTTGGCAAAGTCAACTTGCCTTAGGTCAGCTAAATGCCAAACTGAAAATACGCTATTTAGCATTATAACCTATAGGAAAACTAGGTTATTCAAAAGCAAAAAAAGAGTGAGGCTTTTCAGGCTCAGGTATACAGGAAATGCGCTACGACCAAAACGCTATTCTGATCGTATTTATTAATTTTTTTCTTCTCAAAATATCATTATTTAACTTTTACAGTACGTTTGGTGATTATAAGCTTGTAACTAGAATACTCTGAAGCGTACCTCGAGAGATATCTGGTTTATCATCATTCTCCACGCCTTGATATCATTATCATTTATTCGCGTGTTATTCTATAATTATTATTACAGGCAAAGAAGATCTCAAAGGACATGTCGTAGTCGGCCTATTATCATGAGATACTTTAACTACGTTACCGATTTTCCGGAGCCTGATTCCACCAAAATTTCGCATCGTGAATGAAGTGAAATGAGCAAATAGAATTTAAAGTACGTTTCACCTGAGAAGACATAGTATTGTAACAATGAAGTTAGTTCGAGTTTCGAGTCATATCTTCTTCTTACAGTCTCTAGGCTTTAACGATGTCTGAAGTTACTTAACAAACAATAATAGATATTTTTGGTTCGTTCATGACAAAAACCGTCTAATATGGGACTCAGCACAGAGCTTTTGCACATACTTCATAGCCAATGTGAAAGCATTAAAGATATATAAGCGACGATAACGGACGTCTTTCCTCTTGAATGCCTATAACGACTGCAATATGTTTGCCTAAAGTATCCTTTGTACTGAGCGAAGATGATGGTGTCAGGGTGAAGATCCTCTTCCGATCCCTGACATTATTAGCGATCCCACCATATTGTTTCTCTTCTGGCTA